GCGCAGAGACCTACACAATCAATATTTACAAACAACTGATCTTATTGAAAGTCTCCTCCTAGTGTTCGTTGTGTGGAATGAGAATCCCTGGACTTAATATAAATAATACAATCCTTTCAAGAGTTCAAGAGCGAAGAGTCTCAAAGATGTTTGCTGTAGGTTTTAGCGGCAAAGCAAACACTTATTTCTGAAGTGTGCGTGCGCATGAGGTCATTCTCTTCGGCTCCCGCAAGTGTCTAGTGCCGGATACGTTCAGTGCACGATATAAAAGCCAACTATTAAGTGGCATGAGACAGGTGACACACGTATAGTGTATTTATGTCGACGGACGTCGGAACAGACATTAATGTCTTGATAAAACCAACTCATTTTTCTCCATCTGGCTTCCTAACGTAATTATTATCAAATTGAGTAATGTTCATTACACCCTCACGCGCGAAGTAATCATCGCACGGCGCGTCAACTGCGTCCATACATAACGACTAGGTAAAGTTTACGAGCTTCGCGTAATAAGCTCCCGTATGAAAGCTCTGCATGTTTCATTAAAGTCACTTATAATTAAAAGCTTTAACTAGATTGTAACTTGTCATCTATATAAAAGCCGGAAATTTAATAATGATGTTCATTTAAAAATTAAATTAGTAATCTGAATTAAAGTGATAAGTATACTTCCTTGCACGTTGAATACAGTAATAGACTAAATATTGAAGAAATTCGGGTTACAATTTAATATTATATTATGTAATTTTAAAACGAGTTCATTGTCCAGTGAGCACTGGCCGTCTACTCACGGTAGACTGGTATAACGCGGGTGTGTAAGAGTGATCGAATACTCAATTATATATTTCGAATTGTCACTTAACAGGTACCTACATATAGTTACAACACGGCGACCTTTGAACACCTAGCAGTATCCAATACGCGATCACACATCATTACACGGCTCACGTAGCTATGTAATGTGAACACCCTCGTTCTATCAATAGTCAGGAGGCGGAGGGCCCACGCGCACGCGGGACCGGTGCAGCTAACGAAGTTGTCCAAGTGACGTGGAGCCGCGTAGACTCCTGATCAAGCTACTACTTATTTTAGGTCAACAGAAATGTGACCATAAATACCTATCAATTTGTCCCCCTGGTGATGAGCGACTACTGGATCCCACAGACGCCGGGCACGCTGCGAACTTCGAGAATGGACATAATTTTGAATATAACTGAAACGTTTTCTATACATATTTTGACTTGATACTTGCTTGGACTTGAAGTGCTGTGGTTCAGCAGAACCAGAATTGAAATAATTATAACAGTAGTAACTCCCTCCCGGCATCTACACTACTGCCGACCTGTGTTCTCGCAACCAGGTTCGATGCCACGTGTGGTTTTAAGGTTATGTGGAACTTTGATTTGACTTGAAGTTTAATGAAAATCTAAAAGGAACATTAGTCTTATTTTAGAACACAAAGGGTTTATGTTCAGGACAGTTCTCATTAATCTTCCTCCACGTAGGTGCAGGGCGATGAAAACACCTTCACTTGACACTCCCCTCGTCACAACCTCATTAGGACAATACTCCGAATTATATCATTATCAATCACTGATTATATAAAAATAAATCCAAAGTATACTCAGTGAGATATTGTCCTCAACAGTATAATAATATCTTATGTACCTATAGTTGAAATATGGTTGATATTATATTTATTGACTACAAGTATAAGCTTAAATCTAAGGACAAATCATTATAAATTTCTTCCTCAGGAAGGAAGACGTAAAGAAAATTTCATTGACATTTGTTTAATGAGAAAATATCTTGTCACTGACGAATGAATCATAATAATATAATTAGTGTATTCGGTAAAATTTTAACAATATGGGTGTTGTGTATTAACCTCTTCGGGTATGAACATTTTTAATGTATTCTTTAATGAAATTTGTTTATTTTATATTGAAAACAATTAAATAAGTAAGAAAAACAATTATCAAACTTAGTGACTGTTGGTTTTGAAAAAAATATGTCCAACCTTATATTTTTAACTACATATTTTGATGCCCAAATCTAAGCAGTTAACTAGCCTAATCCATTTAAAAAGAATTCCTCAAATACATATTGTTGCCAAAACGTCATTGGACCAGAGAGCTAGATAGTTCTATTTGAGGGGACTGGGCTCTGGAGGTGAGTGCCTATTTTAAAACACTGATTTCATGGTATATTACAAACACTATACTATTACACATTTACAATATTTTATGTTTATATAGGTAACCCTAGGATGTTTCACTGTCCGTGTCTAGATTAGAAGTACTTTGTCATAACAGAAGACAATCATCTGTTTTAACATTTCAAGAAACATTCCGATATTCAAAAACTGTCACTTCACATGTGACTAGTGTTGCCTGCCATTACTTACACATTCAAATTCCAACACAGAGCCACTGCCGACGGAGGGCCAGCATCAGGAGTGGTGAGGAACTTAATTATTTATTTATTGCTTTTGGTTGATGGACGAGCTCACGGCCCAACTGATGTTAAGTGGTCACCATAGCCAACAGACATCTACAACGTACATTTCGCCACCTACCTTGAGATCATAGCTCTAAGGACTCAGTTTTTACAGTACAACGGCTGCCCCATTCTTCAAAAAAATAGCATTACTTCTTCACGGCAGAAATAGGCAGGGTGGTAGTACGTACCCGTGCGGACTCACAAGTCATCCATTTACGCAAATTATAATTTTGCGAGTTTGGTTTTTATTACACCTTCACCGTGGAAGTCAATCGCGAACAATTGTTAAGTACGCGTATTTCATTAGAAAAATTGGTACCCGCCTGTGATTCGAACACCGGTGCATCGCTAGATACGAATGCACTGGACGTCTTATCCTTTAGGCCACGACGACTTCATTTCCACCAGCCAGAGTACATCGAGCCGATAGGGGCTGCCCGTTCAGTAGAGTGACGCCGAATGACGAAACCAGGTTAAAATACGTGCAGCCTGATAGCTAGCAACGTCGTGCGACCGCTGTGTGTCGGATAAGTGACTTTTTTGTGTGAAGTACAGGACCACAGAAGATATTCTTCTCTTTAGCCAAGAATTCAAAGTTCTATTATCACCTTCGTAACATCCCTGTTGCAGGAATAAACAATATAGTCTGCTAAACTAAATATAGTTGTTGTTGTTGTAGTCCTAGGGTACCCCGCTGGTACATAGGGCCCTCACAAGTTGTCTCCACTTTACCCTGTCTTGCGCTTGCTCCTTGTATAAATATAGTATAACTAGCGACCCGCCCTCGCTTCGCTTCGGAAACATTAAAACACACATGAAACCAAAAAATATAGATATAAAAAAAAAAAAAGTAGCCTATGTTCATCAGGGACAATGTCGGATTCTAATGGAAAAAGAATTTTTCAAATCGGTCCAGTAGTTTCGGAGCCTATTCGAAACAAACAAACAAACAAATCTTTCCTCTTTATAATATTAGTATAGACTACTAAATTAGTATCCACTAAATATTACTGGAGAATATCAATATCAAAATTCGGACAAAACCTGCGTCCATTCTGCGCCACTCCACGTAATTATATCCGAATTAAAACAAAAAAATATTCACACAGATTTGAAAGAAATCACTCAAGCGCACAATTCCGCCGTTCTTATAACAATTAAATTAATTACGAAAAACATTCAGACGTTATGAAGTATAATTCATAAAAGCTCACTAATTAACAAGTCAGTTACGTAATCAGGTTTTCATTAAGAAAAATAAATATTCTAATGAATTCTGTCAGTCGCGATCCTTCGCTCTGTTAGGGTTTCTTCCTTCTGTATTTACTTCATAAACTATTCAACATTCACTTTTAATAATTAACAGTTTTGTGGAGCTACTCAACACATTTGGGAGATTTGTATTGAATTTTTGAAGATATCTCTTTTAATAAGATAGATTAAGTCAAATTTAAAAACTCAGGTTAGCTCTGTTCTCTTCTTTATCCATTTTTTTTTTAATATAAAAAAACTTAACCATTCGTTTAATTCGGTGGTTATTGAAATAGCAGCGTCAAATTATACCTATCTGTTAAAGTTTTTGTTTTGTTATTACTTAGATGCATAGACGAACTCTCGGCCACCTACAACGTAAATGCCGCCAGCCACCCTGATACATGAGTATTGTGGTGTCAGTTTTTACAGTACAAAAACTGTATACAAGTGTACGTGTAGTAAGCAAGACGTGAACATTGACCATTTATTTATTTTCCGTGATTGAAAAACCATTTCAAGCAATCTGCTAGCTAATTATAAAAAAAACTAATTGTAGTGAAAAAGCATCATTTTTCTCCTACCTACGCCGAAAGTTCGGTTTTCTTCCCGCTGTACAGGGAAGAAAGCGTAACTTTCCTCCCTGGGTACAAGTGCGATGCGCGTTAGTGTCTACGTCTGCTCTCACGCACCTAAAATTATCCGCCATTGTTGTGCTCGGGTAATTTTCAATATTGTGCTTAGTGTAAAAGTGAAATAAACAAAAGGCAATAAAATTTAACAGTGAAGTATTAAACAAAGATGAGTTCATCAAACATCAACGTTGTAGATGTCTATGGGCTCCAGTAACCACTTAACACCAGATGGGCTGCGAGCATATTCACCCATCTAAGCAATAAAAATATATAAAAAAAATTTAATAAGAACTATCTGATGAACTCATCTTTGTTTGATATTTCACTATTAAATTTTATTGTCGTTTGTTTATTTCACTTCTACACTAAACAATATTGCAAATCATCCGAGCACAACAATGGTGGAGAATTTTAGGTGCGTGGACACTAACGCGCATGCGCACTTGTCAGTACTCAGGGAGAAAATGTTACACTTCCTTCCCTGTACAGCGGGACGAAAAGTTAGACTTCCTTCCCTGTACAGCGGGAGGAAAACCGAACTTCGGCGTAGGTAGGAGAAAAAATATTTTCTTTTAAATAAAACCAATTGTAATCGTCGAACGCGATATATTGTCAGTAGTCGAGAGCGCAGAACAAGGCGACCCCGCGCTTGACCCAGTGCGCCGGCGGCTTTTTGGTGGGCAGCTCCACGGTCAGCACGTAGTTGGTGGAGTGGCCCGTGGTGGACAGCGTGCCGGCGCGCAGCAGCGTCTTGTACACGGGGCAGTCCGCGGAGCCCTGCGCCGCCCGCCGGTGCTGCTCCGGCCGCAGGTACAGCGGCGCCATGTCTGCGGAGCGCGGGGCTACAGCGGCGGCCCGCCCGGCGCTGTAGCCCCCCCCCTCCCCCCCACCTACCTGTGTACAGCTCCTTGGGCCGGCTCTCGTCCAGGCTCATGTTCCCCATGTTCCAGCGAGCGCCCTCCAGGAACAGTCCCCGGATGCAGCAGCCGTCGTCTGGCCTCTTCGGCGGCGCGGCGGCCAGGGGCTACTCACAGTACCAGTAAACAAAACTCAAATTATATCTATCAACCTGACCTCCCTTGAGCCCACGGGCAATGCTCATTAGTCAATACGTGAACACTCTTGACAATTTAGAACTGACTCCCTTCGATGTTATTATAGAAATTTAGTGGTCGTTGGACCTCTTGTGAGTCCACGCGTGTGGGTACCACTGCCTCGCCTATTTCTGCCGTGAAGCAGTGATGCGTTTCGGTTTGAAGGGTGGCAGCCGTTGTAACTATACTGAGACCTTATATGTAGAACTTAAATCTCAAGGTGGGTGGCGCATTTGTGTCGTAGATGTCTATGGGTTCCAGTAACCACTTAACACCAGGTGGGCTGTGAGCTAGTCCACCCATCTAAGCAATAAAAAAAGAGATGTTTCCTCTGGCATTAGCGACGTCTGCGGCGTGCGGTGACCACGCTAATGTCTCGCAGCGGTGCAGTAAGTCACCTCGAAGCCGTAGGAGAGCGTGTCGATGGCGACGACGTGCTTCCTGGCGTAGTTCTGCAGCGCGCCCGTGAGGAAGGCCTGCGGGAAGAACAGCCCCGAGATCCAGAACACGGTGGGGATGCCCAGCTCCGCCCACGAGCGCAGGAACTCGACGCGCTGTGCCAGGTCCCGCACCCACGCGCCTGCGGACACGTGCAGCCTTTCATTTGTATCTGAGAAAAACTTAAATCGCGCTAATGATAGTTATGTACACAAACTACACACTATACAGCAACACCCGACCACAACGTTCGAACCGTCGCGACGTCGTTTGTCATTGACAGTTATACTAGTTCTGTTTGCACCCTGTTAGCGGTTGAGTGTCGAGGGCTGTGACGTCATGGGGGGGGGACCCCGGCCGACGGCCCACCTGCTCCCTTACTGAGGTCACTCATAGAAATTTAAACGGAAACAATTTTATTTTGATGGAAATTGAAATCAGTACCAAAGTACTGAAAACAAAAATTAAATATATCCAAAATGAAGATTAATTATCTTAAATTATTAATAATAAAATAAACTTTAAGTACCCCTGGTGGAACTCGAGCCCACAGTCCCCAGCATAAGAGGCCGATGCTTTATCCATTAGGTCACAGGGGCTACCGACGGCGCAATTAAAATACATATATTTTACTACAAACTCAAAGTTATGGTCTAGTCAGGAAGAAGTCCGGTCCCCACCCCGGGGGCGCGGCGGGGCGCGGCGGTCCACTAACCGAGCGGCTTGAGCGAGGGGTAGGCGGCGCGCGTCCACCGCGGCGGCACAAGCGCGCGCGCCAGGGCGTCGGCCGCCTCCTCGGCGCCGCGGGACATGGCCGCCAGCCCCTGCAGCGCGCGGCACACCTCCCTGCGCGAGGGGGGGCGGTACTCGCATATTCGTTATCGGACAAACAAGACCTCCAGCCATCGTCCTCGCCGAACCTGTCACTTGTGAACCCGGGTTCGACGAGTAAATTAACCCACAGATACGGCCCACTGAATTTCTCGCCGGATCTTCTCAGTGGGTCGCGTGTCCGATCCGGTGGTAGATTCTGCTAAGTACTGCTCTTGCTAGGGTTAGTGTTAGTAGCGTCTTCAGGTTTGAGCTTGGTGAGCTCATCTCCTTGTTAGGGTCACTTTGAAATGGCTTCCCAAGGCCATCAGCTCAGGTAGGAAAAAAAAGCGGAGATTGTAGATGTCAATACTTCAAATTGGTTTCAATGTAATATTCTATATTAATATATTACATTTTATTTGCATGTGTTGTTTATTGGATAAGGTTTTTATAAATTTTTACATAAACTTATTGTTAGTGTTTCACGAAAAGCCAAAGGAGGCAGTGCACTCACGTGAGAGAGTCGTCTATGACTTTGAGGAGCCTGTTGTACCTGGTGGCCTCCTGGATCAGCACCGTGTTCAGGGACTCCTTGTACATTACCGGGTACCTGTTGTCGACAAGATACCTCACTTCGCAAACCTCTCGGGGACATGGGGTCCCACGTGAGGGGCACAGATCGTGTCTCCATGTCGTACATGGCAACGTATGAGACAATCACGGCGGACCACAAATTAGACCGTGGACAGAGCCGTATCGCCCGTGAGCGTCGCGACTCGGCCCTCAGCTGTCCCGCGAGACGGTGTTATAATGCGTAGAGTTAAAATTATGAGTGATTTCAAAGTTTTAGAGGGTAATTTAATGACATTGTGTCAGCGGCCGTCAACAACACAGTACATGGCGTAGTTTAGGGGAGGTTTCTGTGGCCAAGTGTAGCGTCGCGAGGGGTGTGTGTACTGACGCGGCGTGTATGTGCGGCAGGTCCAGCGGCGGCGGCAGCGCGGCCAGCACGTCCCGCGCCGCGCGCTCCGGGCCCCGCTCCGAGCCTGCGCCCGCCTCGCTCACCCCGCGCGCCTGCAGGCTGCGGAGGTTACCTGAAGCGACCACATTTACTAACCATCACTTTACTGCCCGAATACTACTATTTACGTTAAATTAAATGCTAATTACGACACCTGATGTTATACGTGTGTAATATTTTGTTGATCAAAAAACTTAAAGTGCGTCGGTCTGACTGCAAGAGCTCTCGAGCAGACGCACGGTTTAACCCACAAACACAGCCCCCTGAGTTTCTCGCCGGATCTTCTCAGTGGGTTGCGTTTCCAATCCGGTGTTAGATTCAGCGAAGCACTCCTCTTGCTAGGGTTAGCAGTAGCAACGACGTCAGGTTTGAGCTCCGTGAGCTCACCTACTTGTTAAGGTTACGCTGAAATGATCTCTCAAGGCTATCAGCTTAGGTAGGAAAAAAAAGATGCGCGGTTCGAGTGTGTGCTCCGTGACGTCGAGCAGCCGGCTGCTGGTCCGGGCCGTCCGAGGCAGAAAGCAATCTAAGATTATTTACAGAACCACATGTCTTTTTGTCTTCTTTCAGCGGCTAGGACGTCATAGTTTCATAGAGGTCACAAACCTGACATTGCAAAAAATGACAAAGTTTCGTGTCAGCTTGATGCCGGTTTGCCGATAAGCTACATCATTGTAAAGTAAGCCGCGTGCCAAACTTACCGCATTGTCCAAGTGGTTGCCGACAGACTATTCATTAAATAATACATTAGATTTCATATTAAAAGTTCCACAGCGGGGCTCACCGAGACAAGCGTTGGTCTCGGACATGGCGTAGCTGATGTTGGCGTTGGGGTGCAGACCGAACAGCGACGGGTCGTCGTTCAGGGGGAGGGTCTTTATGTAGTTCATGTAGTCTTCTATTGTAGCTGACGACGGCAACTGCACAGGTCAAGGCAAACAGTCAGCAGCGAGGGTCCACGCTCGGCTCAACGATCGCCTCTAGCCACAGAGCGGCTACGGGTGCCCTTGAGCGTGAAGCCTCTATAGCATTAGAATCAAACCTATCCTACCAGGTCAAACATCGTGACGTCTATAGAAGATTTACAACAAAAGATCATCCGACTTTTCGGTAGGATCGGCTTTTGGGGCCTACTGAATTATTATTTTCAAGGATTATATCTTGTGCGTCGGTGCGTTCACTACAGCAAGCGCGTCGGTACAAACAATACAGGGAAATGACAATGTATCTTTAAAAAAAGTCAGCACTGAGAACTGCTAAACTCACAGGGCCGTCGCTTTGTATAGAGTTCCTGAAAATGTGTAACATTAAAGACATGTAGATAGACTTCAGGTCGGATATCAAATTACAATTAAGTTGAACGTGTTTACAGAAGTGACTACGCGGCCCTTCGCCTACCGGTGGAGACCCACAAAGACTACAGTGCGGCGTGTGACCTGCTTGTAGGCCCCGGACTCGTCGAAGATGTATCTGTCGGAGAGCACGGCGGGCGAGTAGTAGTCGGCCAGCAGCGTGAGCAGGCAGCGCCGGTCCCAGTCGTCCGTGACGCGGCCCCCGTAGTTGATGTGGCCCGCCGTGTACGTCAGCATCTGTGGGCCCCGTCGTGTACGTCAGCATCTGTGCCACCTTCGTGTACGTCAACATCTGAGCCCCCGTTGTGTACATCAGCATCTGAGCCCCCGTCGTGTACGTCAGCAGCTGTGGACCCCTGCCGTATACGTCAACATTTGAGTCCCCGTCGTGTACGTCAGTAGCTATGCCCTCGTCGTGTACGTCAGCATCTGTGCCCCCCGTGCGACGACTACAGTGGCGTGCGTAGTTACGTGACCCCCTACACATCAAGATACGTCGGCGAGCTCATGGTGCCGAGGTAGGGACTGCAGTGTGAGACGCTTATACCTGGTACTATCAGATTCAGCTCTACATTACAATGTACAAGTATGTGTTACGGACGGCTCGTACGTTGAGCGGTATCTCAGAGTATTCCCGGAGAAAGATGCTGAGCTGCGAGAGACAGATGCGGAGGTCCCCGTCTGTGAACTCGTAGGGCACGTTGAAGCCCAGCGGCCCGAACTTGCGCCTCTCCAGCACCACGCCGTGGAACACGCTCAGCGAGAACACCAGCCACTGCGCACCGGCCCCGGGTCAGCGTCACCGGACCACCACTGTGGTGCCGGGGCTGGGAACGACTTATTACCAGGTGGTCTGTAAACTTATCTTCATTTCAACGGTATTTTGAAGTACATAATTTTTCATCCTACTCACATACATTTATATAAATTAACTAGCTGTACCTGTCCGCTTCGCTGGGCATTTAAAACTAACATTATTATTTCTCACCCCCACAAAGATTCTCATCATTAACGCCCCCGCAACTGGTGTAGGGAGTCCAACACTCATATAAATATTAGCCTATCCATTAAGTACATGTATTTTCTACATGGATACCAAGTTTCAAGTCAATCGGATGCATGGTTCAGTAGTTATAACGGAATTTTAGCGATGCACCGGTGTTCGAATCCCGCAGGCGGGTACCAATTTTTCTAATGAAATACGTACTCAACAAATGTTCACGATTCACTTCCACGGTGAAGGAATAACATCGTGTAATAAAAATTAAACCCGCACAATTATAATTTGCGTAATCACTGGTGGTAGGACCTCTTGGGAGTCCGCGCGGGTAGGTATCACCAAGCAGTAATGCGTTTCAGTTTGCAGGGTGGGGCAGCCGTTGTAACTATACTGAAACCTTAGAACTCATTTCTCAAGATGGGAGACGGCATTTACGTTGTAGATGTCTATGGGCTCCGGTAACCACTTAACACCAGGTGGGCTGTGAGCTCGTCCACCCATTGAAGCAATAAAATAATATATAAAAAGTAGCAAAATAAATATCTAAGCTGAATGAAAACTCAATAAGTTTAACAATCAACTCAAAGTCTAAAATTGAGTGCTTCTCCTCTAATGATGAAGGATCTTAAACAAGCTTGTCCTGCCAGGACCTCAGTTGCTGCCGGCCCCCACCCTACACTAGCTAGCTCCGGTCAGACCACACAAGCTCCGGAAACTTAGTAAACCTTAAATTGGGGAACTTTAGGTTCATCCGACTCAAAGAAGTCTGCGAAGTCCGGGATCTGGTTCGTGTAAGCCTTCAGCAGGTTCGCTTTCACCCCCCGCGGAGGTTCTATCGTCATCTTGTATCCTGGTCAGTGCAATCAGGAACATTAATGGGTAAGGATCGCTGAGGTGGGCTGGAGCGCGGGGTGGACATAGTGGTCCAGACTCCGGCATTAATTGTAAAGCGGCGGTGTCGTTACTTGGACACGATGGAGACTTCGGTCTCGGATCTCGCGCGTGACGGCGGTGTACTGGGGGCCGTGACGTCAGGACACTCCGTCACGTGCCCCTCCTTAAGTCACGTCGAGTTCGCAGCGCCGGCTCGACTCGGGTAATATTGTCGCGGCTCGCGTAGTTCTTATCTGAACTACAAATTTGGTTGGACCACAGAATTAGACTCCAAATTTTTTTTTTATTGCCTTTGTAAACGGACGAGCATACGACCTCCTGATGGTGAGAGGTTACCGTCGCCCATGGACTTCAGCAATGCCAGGGGCAGAGCCGAGCCGCCACCTACAAATTCCAATCGAAACATAACACTAATAAATTATAACAAATCCAAATGTCACTATCAATCTTGCTTATTTTACGTCAATACATCTTCGACTTACCATTCTGCAATAACGATACCGGGAAATGCGGCGAGGGTGTGGAGGTGAGCCACAGGCGGAAGTCTTTGTGCACATTCTCAGCCTGGAGCTGTTCCACCAGGAGCTCCAGCGCTGGCATCCACGAGGGCGACAGGTGACAGTTCTGAGGACCAAAGTGCGGTGCGATGGCTCCAGTTTTAGCCACAAAACTATCGAGAGCATGAGGACCGACTAAATGTGGTACATTGAGAGCCGACCTGCAGGAAGACCCAGTTGCCAAAGTCGCAGCCCAGTCTGATCATGTTTTCCGCGATGGGGCCCTGACCCTGGCCCAGGGAGATGCTCTCGAACCGTTTGCCCATCTTCATCTTGTCAGCGAACTGCATCAAATCTAAATATTTTTTATTATTATTTAGTTGGACGAATGAGTTCACGGTCTATCTGGTGTTGAGTGGTTACGGGAGCCCATAGTCATTTACAACGTAAATGCGGCCACTCAACTTAAGACATGAGTTCTAAGGTCGCAACGCATTACTGCTTCACGGCAGAAATACGCAGGCTGGTGGTACCCACCCGCGCGGACTCACAAGAGGTCTTGCCACAAGTAAGAAAACAAACTATAAAACACATACAAAAATGACGTCTAGTCAATCTTTAGAAGTTTTGAGTCGAGTGGGAACTATTAGAGCTACCGCAACGTCCCGTGCAAGATTATTATTTTTACAAAGCACACTTACAGCTTTTGTTAATACTCGTACGGGTGTTTCAATCGTTTAAACATCTTAGTCTTGTCTCTACTACGACTTATCCAGAGACTAAGACAATTAGCCACAAGTTGAGAAGACGAACTGTTTCTCCACGCCTGCACTCACTTTACTCACCTCTATGTACATCCATGTAACGGAACCTGTCAACGCGACATGTCAACCCAACTTCACGTCTGGTTAACTTCAAGCTTTGCCTACGAGTCAAGGACAAAGCAACAATAATTCTACCGTCACTACATCCCGACCAGGATACCCACGCTAATAAACTGTTATCTTAATATTTTCCGGTTTGCTATTAAAGGATTTTTTATTTATTTTAAACTACATCATTTTATTTGGAATTATTTTTCAATTTAGTAATTAGTGTTTAAAGTCGGCGGCGGCTTGCTGCAGTTCACGCAGGAGCCAAAGCGTACCGGCGGCCGGGTCAGTGCCCGAGGACAGCACCAGCACGAGGGGGGCGCGCGGGGAGGAGTCGGCCAGCAGCGCGGCCAGCCCGGCGCGCCCGCCCCCGCCCCGCGCCTCCACGTACCGCGCCCCCCGGGCCGCCGACACGTACTCCTGCACCAACCGACACGCTGCCGCTCAACTTGCACTACGCATTGGTGTTACTTAGGATGGACTTCAGTACTGTGACTGGTGCTGAGTACTGACAGGTGTCCACGCGGCCCCCTCATGAACACCTAGTACTTGCGTGTGACATGTCACTGACCATTGCATTGACCATAAACTACATGATGTTCTCATCACCTGAAGACATTGATCGGCTTGTAAATTCTAGTTACTTTCAAACAATAATCGGATGTTAAGCCAACATCAACCTACATAAGTCCACTGCTGGACATACACTTTCTCAAGGCACCCCGCGTACTCCTGCGACGTTCATGGGGGCGTCGGATCAGGTTTGAGCTCACCTACTACTTAAGGTTACACTGAAATAGCCTCTCAAGGCTCTCAGCTAGGTAGGAACAAAAAACAAAAAAAAAAAGTGGGCGTTGGTCCTTTTTGTAGAAAGTCCCTCTCCACGCTGCGGCTTCGAAATCAACAACTTTGTGATGTTTTGAGCTATGTCAGAGAGCATGGTTCTCCAACGAATCTCCTCATTCTTCATTCGACCGAGGCCCCTCTTCATTGCACATCGGATGCCCTGCCCGCAGCCGCTGCGACGTGATATCCCACGCTACCACGTTACTACTTGTGCATCCGCAACGAGCTACCTGCAGACCCGGGATCATTTTGTCGGGCCGGATACACTTCAACACAAGGATCTTCTGGAAGGCGTCCAGCTGTGAGTCCAGTACCTTCGGGTACGGAAGCCTAAAAACAAACTTAAAGTTCAGGTTTGGCGAGACCAGAGCCGAAACATAATTCTGCAAAATTCTGAGCTCATTAGTACAATAATCTGGGCAGTGGCTCAATCCGTTGCTGGGGTGACAGAATGACTACAAATCTTCACTAAGCTGATATCACCTATCACAATAGGGGGTCCTTCGCTTGGGTACGCCGCGAGGCAGATATGCGTCTCGATGTCAAGTGTCGGAGTGTCGTTATGGAATACAGCTGATATCCAGCCCTTACGTCTCGAGGCGGGTCAAATGTGATTTCAATGATTTGGATTTGTGTACACTTCCGCTTTTGCAACGGTTGGTACAATTCGTTGATGGAAATGGTTGGGCCTGCCCTGTCTGCTTGAGCGTCGGCATCAGACCTAACGCAGAACAGACGGGCGGCCAGGTATCCCTGAGGGTGTGGACGCGGCAGAGAACCCTTAGAACAGACCTCGAGCTGCGAACTTCATTAAGCCCTTGCTAGAGCACTCACTTGTGAGGGTTGTATGATTCGTAAAAGGTTCTGAAGAACTTTAAATTTTCGGGGAAAAGTTCCGTGACGAAGGGCTTCATGGTGCTTATCGTCGCCAGCTGCTGGAACTCCGACCACATGCGAGGCGATATCCACTTCGGATCAGGGTTTTCTATATCCTAACGCAGAGGATATGTTCATTTACATTAGGATACTTTGGCGTGACGGAAATTAATGTTGAATACTATAGTATGTTCATTATAAATCTTATCATTTATTTAATATTAATAGAAGTGCATTACGACTGCTTATTGAACCAGATTCGGACACTAACCAAAGAGCAAGATTTCGCCGTGAAGGCGTCTATTGAAGTAATTAGACCAGGGAAACAACGGTTGGTTTACGTCAAGTCCTGTAAAAATTCGGGAATGGCAGTGCGATCCTCTATTAGAATTCTATCTGTGTCATTATTATAGGATACAGTCACAAGAAACAAAGATCTGGACCTGAGGATATACTTCCACCTCTCCCCAAACAAACAGCTCGCACACTACTTACTTCTTGGGATGAAGCACCATTAATCAAGAAGTTGTATTCGTGAGTCCTGATGACGCCTGCGTCGAGCAGGATCCTGGCGGTGAGCAGGAAGGCGAACAGCAGCTTGTGTCGCTCGAACAGGCTGCGGCACACGTTCAGGTAGAGCGAGAACGTGAAGTGCTCGATGATCGTCTCCACGCGCTCCAGGATGTCTTCTGCCGAGGGGCGGGTGAGGAACTGGTTATCGGCGGTGTCGGGGCTAACTATGATAACGACCAACTATCGGTGTATACAGATCTATACCCTCAGACACAGCCCACTGAGTTTTTCGCCGGATCTTCTCAGTGGGTCGCGTTTCTGATCCGGTGGTAGATTCTGCGAAGCACGACTCTTGCTAGGGTTCATGTTAGCAACGTCGTCAGGTTTGAGCCCCGTGAGCTCACCTACTAGTTAAGGTTACGCTGATATAGCCTCTCAAGGCTCTCAGCTTAGGTTAAAAAAAAACACAGATCTAGTTGGAAATTTATAATTAGGTACTTAAATTGTAATTGGTCCATTGGTAGAGTCCAATCTTGAATAACTGTCAAACTTCTTTTTAATGGATAAAATGTAGGCTGCATCGACTCACCGCTCGGCTCGGTCTCCGCCATGGACTTGAGGAAGAGTCCGGTGAACCAGTCGAGCGAGTACTGGTACATGGGGTCCACGGCGGCCAGCGCGGCCACGCAGAAGAACAGGATCTGTCCGCGCGCCGCCACGCCGGTGTACTCGCCGCGCGTGGCGTCCACCTCCGCCGTGGTGCGCTCCATGTCCGACACCTTCGTCTGCGCCGGGGCCAGCCATGTACACGGGACAGTTGTAGGCACGACTACTCACCAGGACAGTTCGGACTCACCAGGATCTCCGCCGTCTTGATCTTGATGGCCTCGAGCGTGAGGATGAGCTGCAGGTCGTCGACGGGCGCCTGGCAGGAGGCCAGCCCGTGCAGCACGCGCGCGCCCAGCGTGGCCAGCTGCGCGAACAGCTGCGCGCGCGACACCACCAGCGCGCCGCGGGTCTCCTCCAGCGCCGGCCGCTCCTGCGCCACCACCACCGACAGCAGCTGCTCCGACAGCCCACTGCAAGGGTACACCATGCATGGACTCAACGCAAGCTCGCGACTGCTGTTGTCTGTTGGCGACAACACACGCGGCACACGCGCTCCAGCTCAGGGAGCCGTGTCTATGCCGTTACAAATACACCAACAGCAGACTTTTTTTTATTGTCCTTGTAGGCGGGCGAGCATATGGCCCACCTGATGATGATTGGTTACCGTCGCCGATGGACTTCATCAATGTCAAGAGCAGAGCCAAGTCGCTGCCTACTGAAACTTACTCAATGCTAGATCTACCCAGACTGCTTAGACAGACCCCCTCACCTGGGCACCAGGGCGAAGTTCACGACCTGCACCTTGACCGACGTGTCCGGGGAGTACACAGGGTTGGGCAGCTTCGTGGTCATGTACAGGCGGAAGCCCGCCGCGTACGGTATCAGCGACTCGCCCAGCTTCAGCACCAGTTGCCCAGCTTGCCGGAAGTACTGACGCTGTGTGAGGAGATCGCATTAGTTAGATGAGGGACCACGGCCCGGCAGGCAGGATGCGCCCCCTCGACCATCAAGGCTTTAGTCTCCGCTGCACAGACTGTACTGTGCTAGTATTGGTTATCAAATGTCACATTTTATTTATTAATATTTTATTGCTTAGATGGATGGGCGAGCTCACAGCCCACCTGGTGTTAAATGGTTACTGGAACCCATAGACATCTACAACGTAAACCGCCACCCATCTTAAGATATAAGTTCCAAGGTCTCAGTATAGTTACAACGGCTGCCCCACCCTTCAAACCGAAATAGGCAGGGTAGTGGACCCGTGCGGACTCACAAGAGGTCCTACCACCAGTAATAACCACCAGTAACAGTAATATTCCGGTAGCCTTCAGCCAGCCGGTAAGGACCTTGAGGACGGGATCGAGCGCGGGGTCCAGCTCCTGGCCCACGTTCTCCAGCAGCAGCGGCTTCCCGAAGCGCAGCGCGGACTCGAAGCTGCGCAGCAGGTCCGCGTCGTTCGGCTTGCACACTATCAGACCTTCGATTTTTCCCTAAATTCAAAATAAATCTATAACAAGATTGTAAAATTTAATGTAACTCAAAATTATCAAAAATTGAATACCAAAAGATAATACAATATCTAGTTGTTTGTTGTACATGCAGTCGGGAGCGTGTGTGTACCATGGCTCGGATCCAGTTGTTGGCCTGCGTCTGGGGGTCGATGACGAGGGGCCAGCGCCGCGACGCCGCCATCAGCACGGCGGACTCCACCGACAGCGGGTCCCGCGGCAGCCCGTACATCTGCCACGTCCTGCCGACACGCGCGCTTGTGTCCATCACTACCTCACCCACCCGACGTCAGCGCGGAAGCGGTTCGTGAACATGAATAAAGTGTTTAGTTCCTCACAAATTGGTAGCTGCGGGAATCCCGGGAAGTGCAACAGTAGGTCCTCCAGCACAGACGTGGCTCCACAGCCACTAAACCCCGAGGGAACCTTTCACTAAGCTAACTGCTTCAAGTCCTCATACCTTAGTGTAAGTCATCACTCTACTGCTCTATGTGCTACCAGCATGGCGACCGCCGGCGCTAACCTGATCTGCACCGGGTCCCCGAGGATGGAGAGGGGCGTGGCTCCGGGGGTGTGGGGCAGGGACACTTCCTAAACATCAATTGAAGATTTATGTAAACTGACTCGATGGATACCGCACATCGGACAAACATTCGTGTAATAAACGATTTTATTTGCTTGTGTTTAATCTTAATATATATAAATCTCGTGTCACAATGTTTGTCCTCAATGGACTCCTAAACCACTTAACCGATTATAATAAAATTCGCACACCATGTGCAGTTCGATCCAACTTGAGAGATAGGATGGTTTTTATTTCGATGAATGGTCGCAATATTTATTAATTAACAATAAAATGATTTCTTATGTTGATTTTTGTTATTAATTGTAAGTTTCATAAGTCTAAAACAGATGGCGCCTTAAATCAGTTTTTACAGACAATTGTTATACTGTGACTTTAATATCTCATAGATGGCGCTGTGCTAAAAATACCAACGTTTCACATAAGCTACGATTTAATGGCATAAGCACCACGTGTTTCTGAGGCTAAAGTTTAAGTGAAATTTATTTCGTAGTAAACGCAATACAGTGAAATCCAATTGTTCTTACGTTGTCAATTTTTGGTATTAGCATAGGCGGCCGCGAGTTATTTAGAAACAAAAACCTAAGCCACAGCCATAGCAACGTGTGGCCGGGTCCGCTAGTATCTATTTATATTTACATTTAAAGCTACATATGTAAATAGGCCTCTATTTCCCAAAGTACAGAAAACCCTAGTTCGAGGACGGATGACCACGGGTTTGGTAAAAGAAAATAAGTTATATAGTAGCGGTTAACTATAAGTGAGCTCACCGCCATGTGCTGGGTCCACTTCAGCAGCAGGTCCTTCCGAAACTCCTCAGTGAATGGTGTGATGTACGCCACGGCACCTGGTGCACTTATCTATGTATTAATGTTCACGGTATTTATTGGACAGATGCCAATTTTTGTCAGCTGTAGGAGTAGGCGCGTGCGTCGTGTGACGTCACCACTAATAACCACAAACACCACCCGGAGGCGCAGTTCGTAGCATTCGACAAGAATATTCAGTGCTGATATTCTCGGTAACTTGACTAATATCAGTAGGGGAGTTCCTCACAGGCGCTGAGCAGGATGTCCCCGATGAGGTTCACGATGGCCACGTCCAGCTCCTTGATGGTGCGGGTCCAGCGCACTCGCTCGCTGGATAGGCCGTTTAACAATCTGCAAAACACATGTTCAGTGAACAGACGCCTTTACAATAACTAGTGGTCCCGCAGTACTCTAAATTCGACTATAATTAATTCGCTGGACGTAACTCCTCAGGATCCGCCAAAAAGTCCACTGAAAAAGTCTCAGTAAATAGGATAATAGGAGTAACGGTAGGACTTCTTTTGAGTCCGCACGGGTAGGTACCATCACCCTGCCTATTTTTGCCGTGAAGCAGTAATGCGTTTCAGTTTGGAGGATGAGGCAGCCGTTGTAACTATACTGAGACCTTAGAACTCATATCTCAAGGTGGATGGCGGCATTTACGTTATCGATGTCTATGGGCTCCAGTAACCACTTAACACCATATAGGCTGTGAGCTCGTCCACCCATCTAAGCAATAAAGAAAAAAGAAAAGAAAAAAAACAATTGAATGAGATTATATCTCATCCCATATCATCTCACCTCATTACACTTAATTTTATGCCAATTGATTAATGTTTCAAATTAATCAACTTCATTTCTTTTCACTTCATATTAGGTACCATTTTTCATTTTAAATTTTTTATAAAATATTAGACTGCATGGTATGATACCTTTGCCTTTCCAGTTGAAAATATGGAACTACTACTACTCATAATGTTTGACAACAAAATAGTATGCATGCGCGTGTGCGTCAAATACATGGTATGTAGTGTGTGTAATGTTTTCTTTATTGATTTAATGTATCTTTTATGCAATATTTAAGAAAATATGTATTAGCATTCTGCACTCCTTCTTTATATTCTCTATAAGTGTGGGAAATTTCATACTCCTCCGTCCGCGCAATCTTCGTAAAAAGGGGTACAAAGTTTTTGCTTCACGTATATAGATATTGTCATGTTTCTATCTATAAACAGAGATATCCTTATTGCAGCCACTACCTGTTGGCGCCACAGTACGCGGTCTCGCTTCCATCAGGTGTCGTGTACTGCCTCGCGTTGATGATCATTAGCATTGGTTGCTGTTTTGACACAAAAACTAAACTTATCTGTTGTACTGTTGTATGAAAAATACGGTCGTAAGCGCCATTACCGAATCATCAAAGAATCAAAAAGCATCACAACGATCAAAAGGGGAGCAAATCAGTGGGGCTGCATTAAAACTCAATTGCGACGCATTAGTGGTTACACCCTTCGAAATATAGACAAATTTTATTTTTACAATTTTGCGCTACATAGATAGTTGTAGATGTCTATGGGCTCCGGTAACTACTTAACACCAGGTGGGCTGTGAGCTCGTCCAACCATATAGGCAATTAAAAAAAAAGATATACGAAACTCCACCTACTCATTTCATATTCATACAATTTAGATAAAAAGCATGTTTTTTTTTTGCCTAGCGAATGACAGGGTCAAGTGGAGACAACTTGTGACAGCCCTATGTATGTATGACTACAACTACAACCACAACTACAAATACCTATGCTGGTAACCTCGACGGGATATGCCAGCTTCAGTAGTGACTACTGACTAGACTCTTTGCAAATAATGTTGGAATATCGCGTCCCGGCCCTTCGTGTCCCCCAGCCAAATCTCATTCATAATAAGCGTTATTTGCACTCTGATTGTTCTCTTTGTTCAGTAAACAATCAATCGTGTGGTTCCTAGCTCTTTAAGCAGTTGATCTAAAATCAATTATTTTACAAAATCCCATCCACACATCAGCACCACAGGGGCACAAAGCGATATGACGACACAATGACGATAGAATATTATTATATCTCCATTGATTTAATATGGTCGTAACCGAAAGTAATACTAAATTTCATACGTGTTCCTCGTAGCAGAGTGGCGCAGTGGAAGCGTGCTGGGCCCATAACCCAGAGGTCCGTGGATCGAAACCACGCTCTGCTAAGTTCTTTTTGCAATTTTATATGTAAGCTTTGGAACAAATCTAGTAAAACTATTAATTTTTATCTTAAAAAAAAAACTAATCCACCGAGATTTCTTTAATACAAATAAAAAATACCAAAACTATACATACATTTATACTTAAATAATTATTTTATTATGCTTAAACAACTACATACGCATTGTTGATACTTTTTGTGAAATTACAGTAAAATTCATAAGAATGCTATAATCAGAATGAACTAAAATTTTGGTGATGCTTAACATTTATTTAAGCGCCATCTATTGAGTACTACTACAACTATATCAATCTTTTACAGAGTCGTTTAATACAAAGTTACATTAGAATAAGTTTTGTGAAAAGTACTATTTTACGCCATCTATGAAAAAATATTGAAACTAATTCAGGACAGTCCTTTTACAGAAATTATGTTCATAAATGTGTCGTACCTACGTAACTAGTTAAATAGTTGCCAATCACGTTTTAAGTATGCAATATAGAACAGTGCGCTTAGTGCGAGTTTTTAATGTTCTCGATAGCGTAAAAGGTTAGTCAAATTCAGTCAAGCAAACGAGCACACAGCCCACCTAATGGGGAGTGGTTACCGTCGCCTGTGGGCTTCAGCAACGCCAGGGGCAGAGCCAAGCCGCTGCTTACCCTACCTGTTAATGTTTAATAGTAACACCCCATTTTATAATTGTTAAAAAATTTGAAAATTACGCTTTTATAGAAAATTAGAAAACGCAAATGAATGCAAAAAAAAGCACGGGGTCTTTTTAACAGCTTGAACGCTTTCGTCCCACCGGTGGGCCTGTCGAACTGTTCCATTCAAGCCAAACCAAAATCAGGAAATCAGTAATTTTTATCAACTTGAAATTTTCATTTAAAAAATTATAAATGCGATTATTTGCACGGAGATAAAAATTAGCGACTTTTGCCATCTAGTTTTTAAGATATTTTATTAGGCTATTAATCTTGATGAAAACTACAAGTTTCTATTGGATTTGAGAACCACGCTGTTCGGTTCGGCCCAAGGGCCCCGCGGTTCACTTCCATACGCGTTCTGTTTGATACATAGCTCCAATCTGTGGCTTGTACGAACCCGCAGGCGGCTCACTGGTGACCATGACTTAAACGGTTCAGTAAGGTAAGGCTCACCGGTGAGCACCGTGGCCTGAATGAAAATACTCGATTTTTCATGTGGCATTTAACAGCGTATCTGTCAATAACACAATTTTATTATCAATTTTCTTGGATTTTTTTCTATAAAAGCGTGGTTTTTAGTTCTTTTAACTATTATTTATCTCTAATCATTAAATGTTATATTCTATAACAAAACTACGAACAATCAATGTGTAATGTTCAGTGAGGCTAGTCGAAATGTCTCTAATGTTGCGCGATATCATGATGGTGCCGAGCCGGTCCCACCTGTGGGCGCGGTCCATCCTGGCGAGGCACTGGTTGATGTCCTCCTCCATCCGTCTCTTTTCCTCTTCCTTCTCCTGGAGGTATGCGTCGAGCTTCGCAATGCCTTCCAGCAAAGCTCTCATCTTAGCTTTTGTGCTTTCTAACATTTCTATAGAAATGAATATTAAATGCTATTAGGAAATTTCATACAATTTAAAAAAAAAATACAATTAAATATGCTGGAATACAGACTACCTGTTAGTTAATTAGCTATATACCCACTTGTTGTGTTTGCATCGACTGCGAGCTGACTGCTCCCGACGTGGGTACAATGTACATCGGCATAATAATGTTTTGTATCCGGCAGAAATAGGCAGGATACAGGTACCTGTACAAGGAAGGAGGTGGCAAGTGTGGTGGCAGTGGGGTGGCGAGTGGGGAAACGAGTGGCAGGTGTAGTGGCTAGTGGGACGGCGAGCTAGACGGCGAGTGTGGCGGCGAGTAGAGTGGCAAGTGTGGTGGCCAGTGGTGCGGCGAGTGCGAGGCGCTAGTTACGTGTGACGGCGTGCAGGCGGGCGGCGGCCTCGGCGAGGGCGGCCCGCTTGGGCGCGACGCCGGTGTTGACGTGGTAGTACTTGTACATGGCGTGCACCCACATGCACAGCGACATGCACGCCTTCGACACCTGCGCGACACACAACACGCGCTGCCTCACTACTGCTTCAACATTAAGGATGTACAGGACATTCTATTTATGTATTGGCAAAATAAAAACCAGCCCGATTCCCGCAAGGCAAGAGGCTTCATAGGGATGTCACCCAAACTCTGGTTCCTACAGTGTTTCAAGTTCCTTTCGTATAGGAGGAGATACGTGGTGACGTAATTTGAGTCAAAAGTTAAATAATCGATACGGCTATTCTCAATTATCAGAATCGGATCTACTGCTGTTTCGTGAAAAACAAAAATGAATGCTCTATGAGACCTCGTGTGACCGAGTGATCTGGACATGGTCGCTATTTTGGGCGTTTAAGTTACATATTGAACAATTGTCCTTCGAACCCGATCATTTGACAATAATCCTGCCTGTATATTTTGTTATGTGTAAACTGTATTGTATTTTTATTATTGGATTACTGGTTTATAACGAACCCGACGTAGTACCTATAAAGCAGTATTTTAAGTACTTAAATGAATCTTTGGCTTGAAATCCATATATATATCAGCACGTAATGGCCGATAACCTCAGAGCTGGACAACAAAATTTAGCATAATTTGTAGATAAATAAAAATCATACAGACATTCCTTCAAATGATCTCAGGATGAAACCAGCAAGTACACAGCCGACAAGCTCAGACCTTGGCAATCTTGTTGGGTTCATAGTCTGGGTTCTGTATGAACTTCTTCAGTTTCTTGATGGTGTCCTCAGTGATGGAGTCCTTATCGTAGTTGATGAGCGAGTCGAGGAAGGCGGTGGGGTCGGCAAGCATGGCGCTGCCCGGCCGCCAGTAGTTCAGCACCTTCACTCCGAACGTGGCGCCGGGCTCCTGCGACATGAGATCACATCGATCCACACTTCTACTAAGGGATGAAAACGGGCCCTTAACGTGTCACCCGTGGACATCGGCGAGGTTCATGAGAGCTGCTGAAAGCACTGTGCAAGCTTCTCTGAAGAAAGGCATGTAAACGGGAGATCTGGAATTTCTTTAGAAAGGCGTTATCCTGCGGGTGGCGTCAGGAACGTCTGCTGAACTTTACTTTACTAAACTAATATACCGTTGACTCAAACACTTGAGAACACTAATTACTTCTTGAATCAATTACAATTTACAATACCTTGATAGGTTTGATATCAAAGACCACACAGAGCGACTCTATGACGAGAATGACTCCTGCTGGCGGCTTCTTCAGAGCCTTCACCTCCACTATGTCGTTCCTGTTCAGTTCCTGCAGGGCTTGCTCCGCCGCGCGCAGGGCCGGCAGGGCCTCGTCTGCGTACAGAGGGTCCGTGAGCGGCGGGTCCGGGGCGCCCTACGTGCGTCTCAAGGTAACGCTATGACTCCTAGGCACATAAAGACACACCGAGATCTCTCTGAGCGTCCTCCGCCATGGCCGTAGTCTCGGCGGCCATCTGCTCCGCTATGGCCTGCTCCTTCTCCACTTTCAACCGAGCGTCTTCCGCTATGGCCTGGGACACACAACAGAACCACATAGACTTACTGCTTACACTTATTGCCACGACAACGTTGAAGGTTGAGCTTGAAAGCTATATTATCATCAGTTTGGCAAGGCCAGTTGGTAAGAAAAGAAATAAATATATATTTGTCATCAAGCGGCCCCATGGCCTGATTTCCCCCCGTGTTGTCGATGCCGGGCACAGCACCAAGACCACACCTAAACCCGAGACAGCCAGGCTTCTCTTACAAAGATATTCCCCTGCTCCTGATCGGGAATCAAACCCGCAATTATAATTCATACCGGCTGTTTCGGACAGACCGTGTGGTACAAAATTGACTCTTTTTTAACTTAATAATAATTTTTAATTAATTAATGGTTAATTTGGTGCTAAGCTACCGAAGCCCATAAGACATCAACAACGTGAATGCCGCCACCCACATTGAGACACGAGTTCTAAGTTCAGTTCTATGGTACAATAGCTGCCCAGCTGTCGAGGCGGAAGGGCTGCTCTGCGACAGAAGCAGGCAGGGGCGGCGCAGACCAGCAGACAGACCAGCGGTGACTCTCCACACATGTAGGACGAGTTTTACGAACCACATCTAACCTATTGAAACAAGACTTTTTTTCCAATAAAACTGAAGCTATCACAAAAAGTCAAATCTTGTTTTTTTCTTTTTTTTATTGCCCTTGTAAGCAGACGAGCATACGGCCCACCGGACGGTGAGTGGTTACCGTTGCCCATGGACTTCAGCAATGCCAGGGGCAAAGCCAAGCCGCTGCCTACCGCCGTTTAAGATCATTAACGAGAAAACGAAGCACTAAGCGCGGTAAACGAGTTAGCTCATTTCATCACGATTATCACAAAGGACTTAAACTCACAGTGTCTATCGCGATCTGCTCAATGACTACCCTGGTTTCTTGGGCCGCCTTCTCCATAAGGGGTTTCAGCTCAGCCAGTTCAATCTGAAGTTGTTTCACTTCTATCTCGGTTTGATTCAGTTTGTTCAAGCCTTGATAGGATAAGAATGTGTTATTATCCACCACACTTCGCTGGCAGTAGGGCGCTTAGTGAGCCCGTACGGGTATATACCACCGCCCTGTCTTTTTCTTCCGTGAAGCAATAATTTGTTTCGTGTTGAAGAGAGGGCAACTGTTACACTGTGAAATAGACACTCAGAAGGACACTCAAAGAGGGTGGCGAAATTTACATTGTTGATCTATATGGGCTTCGTAACCACTTAATACTAGGCGGCAACCGCGAGAGGGCGGACGGCCATACTCAATATTAGCTGAGAGCAGAAACTAACGCGGCGCTACGGCAGGACCGGGGCTGGGTGTCCAGGGATATCCGGTCGGGGGTGGGCGGCTTGATCAGATCCAGTGTGCGAATATAATGAAATTAATCAACGAAGTCAAAAAGTACTACATAGCAAGCTTTCGTTCATACTAGCTACTAAACATCTTCCAGCTACCGTACCGTTCCTGAGGGCGTTGGATTCTTCGAGTATCGAGTTCCTCTTGTTCCTGAACATGTCTCTGTAGGCGGACAGCATCTCCATGTAGGACATCGGCGTGACGTAGTTCCGGCGGCCCAGGCGCGCCAGGAACGCGGCGCTGGTCTCCGCCACGCTCACATGCGCCTCGCAGCACGCGGACTGGGGGCGCGAGTGTCATATGGAGGGCGAGGGGGTCACGTGCGCCTCGCAGCACGCGGACTGGGGGCGCGAGTGTCATATGGGGGGCGGGGGGTCACGTGCGCCTCGCAGCACGCGGACTGGGGGCGCGAGTGATTATGTTATATTTATTATTAGTTTTATAATTATTATTGCAGCTATAACTAAAAGTGCTCAAATTCCTTTTAGTTCTTGATTACCTGCTGCTATAGCTGCTCCTACTCCTGTTTCTGCTTTAGTTCATTCTTCTACTTTGGTTACGGCCGGTGTATATTTATTAATTCGTTTTAATTATTTATTGATTGATATATTTTTTTTTAAGGTTTTATTATTTTTATCTATTTTAACTATATTTATATCTGGTATTTCTGCTAATTATGAATTTGATTTAAAAAAAATTATTGCTTTATCTACATTGAGTCAATTAGGTTTAATAATAAGAATTTTAAGATTAGGGTTTCCTGATATTGCTTTTTTTCATTTATTAACTCATGCTATATTTAAAGCTTTATTATTTATATGTGCTGGGGTTATTATTCATATAATAAATGATATTCAAGATATTCGTTATATAGGGGGTTTATCTTTATATATTCCTTTAACTTCTTTGTGTTTAAATATTTCAAATTTATCTTTATGTGGCATTCCTTTTTTATCTGGATTTTATTCTAAAGATTTAATTTTAGAAATGGTTAGTTTTAATAGTTTTAATTTGATAGTTTTTATTTTATTTTATTTATCTACAGGTTTAACTGTTTTTTATACTTTTCGTTTAATTATATATGTTATAATTAATGATTTTAATTTAATAATAATTTATAATTTATATGATGAAGATTATATTATGTTAAATAGAATATTTGTTTTATTATTTATAAGATTATTAAGTGGTAGTTTTTTAAGTTGATTTATTTTTTCTTATCCTTATATAATTTATTTACCTTTTAATTTAAAATTAATGGTAATTTATGTTAGTATTTTAGGTTCAATTTTAGGTTTTATGGTTAGAAATATGGGAATTTATAGTTTAAATAAATTATTATTAAGATATAATTTAAGAAGTTTTTTATGTTTAATATGATTTATACCTAATTTATCTACTTATGGTTTAAGTTATATTTATTTAAATTTTAGACAAATTTTATTTAAAAATATTGATATAGGTTGAAGAGAAATTTATAGAGGTAAGGGTATTTTTAATATTTTAAAGAATTATTCTGTATTTTATAATATTTATCAAATAAATAATTTTAAAATTTATTTATTTAGATTTATTTTATGGTTTATAATTTTATTTATTTTTTTTTTTATTTAATTATATTTAAATAGCTTATATTATAGAGTTTAATATTGAAGATATTAAGGAGATAGNTGGTCTCCGCCACGCTCACATGCGCCTCGCAGCACGCGGACTGGGGGCGCGAGTGTCATATGGAGGGCGAGGGGGTCACGTGCGCCACGCAGCACGCGGACTGGGGGCGCGAGTGTCATATGGGGGGCGGGGGGTCACGTGCGCCTCGCAGCACGCGGACTGGGGGCGCGAGTGTCATATGGGGGGCGGCGGTTGGGTCGTCGCGGTAATATACGTTAACAACCAGTCTTGAAACAGATGCGTTTGTTTAACTGAAGGATGTGATCACCCCCCTATAGTTGGACTATTGTTAAAATGTTAGAAATGTTTCGATGTCAATGTCAAATGTATTGTCAACAAAGTGAAACGAGTTTAATGGTAACCACCGTGAGCACTGCCGAGGTCTGTGGATAAGCTTTGTTCTACACGAGCATGTTGTTAGATAGGCTTGTTGCTGAGGGGTCACTCTACGGTGGGGCGGGACGGAACATTCCCGGTCCGACCCGTAGCGCTGCGCGGCGTGTCCTGTCGCTCACCACCATGGCGTCCAGCACGTCGGCCGTGGTGTCGAGCTCTGGCATGTTGGTGAAAAAGTGGTTGGCGACGGAGCGCAGGGCGGCGCGCGGCCACTCGCTGTACCAGTCCAGCGTGCAGCACGACACCAGCGCCGGGAACTGCCGCAGTCTGCCGCGGAACACCTGCCCGCACAGTACATAGTACAAACGCGGCACACACTCGCTCCTTCACCAACAGAAGACGTTACAGCTTTGCGGCAGAAACAGGTAGGCACAAGGCGGCAGTAACGACCCGCGCACGATAGTACCTGTGTGACTATTAGAAATCACATTTGGGTGTATAAATACATAATTCAGCAGTTTGATTTTTATGTATAGGGAATCCTTGTGTTACACGACCACTAAGAACTAATAATTATTTGTTTATTGTTGACGTATGAGCACGACCTGTGCATTATGGAGAGGGTCGCACTTGTGGTTGACGCCACGATAATTATCATCATCAAACAAGTAAGGGTCCCCTCACATCTCCGATGGGGCTCATGACGATAACGATGTGCAAGTTGTTCCGGACCCTCTTCTGGTAGCAGGAGAACAGGTTGGTCTTGGTGGCGGGCAGGTTCATCTCCATGACGGCGTGGCGGACCGACATGTAGATCCGGTCCAGGTCTTCGGGCTCGTAGATGTTGGCCACGTCGCCCGAGCTCAGGATGCTGTTCACGTCTTCAAGGAACGATTCCATTTTTATCTGAAACATGCAATGTGACCACCTTCGAGCGCGCAGACCGTCCCATCGCAGCGCAAACCATCAGAGTAGTTCACGGAAACTCTCAACTTAAGACTGAAATGAACAAGTGACATTCAATTGAAGTCGAATTCGGAAACAGTGGGGATCAATTTGTCTGCTCCCTACAAGGAACTGATGAACAGTTGTTGTAATATGTTGTACCCCGGTGCGACAGTTGTGTGACGGCGAGGGGACCGCCCGGCTCTAAGCAACAACCCAACTCACCGACTAGTCAGTTGCGACTTATCTCGATAATTTAATATCTTTTTGTTCCTTCCATTTGCAAGTGTCATGACGTCACACTGCTTTAATCTGTCAGCAAGCTATAAGTTTCCCAGACTGTAGGAACCTGAGCATCCGAAAATAAGAAGACAGTTCCTCTGTTCTCGGCGCCGGCCTTCAGCATGGTCTGCCGCAGGTCGTCCCGCCACTCCTGCTGCCCGTACGACTTGGTGATCTCGATCTGCACGCACGCCAGCTCCGACATGGAAGCCGACAGCCTGGACAGCGACTGGCGACCTGGGGGCAGAGGGGGCCGTACAGCCGGGGCCACACCACACCACGGCACAGCAACGCGGGAGACGCACCCGACCCTCCCATCCCTAGGAGCAGGGCGTTGGCCATCGGCTGCCTCATGATCCTGGCAAGTCTGCAGAGGTGAGCCACGGCGTCCTCGAACAGCACCAGCTCGAGCGGGGCGGTGGTAGAGGCGTTGTACTCGCGCAGGTAGTGAGCCAAGATCTCATTTAACTGAAAAGTGGAGGAAAACTAATCAAATAAGATTAAAAAATTTGAGAAGCATTTCCTAACGATCGCGAACCTACTCCGCCAATAGACACACACATTCATCAACGCCGATTGCAATCGAACAGAACAATTTTGCCAAATCTTGCAAATGCACAAGACCCCAGCGAAAACTTTCCGTGGTAGATCATCCCGTTGTAGGGGGACGTCGGTCCTCACCTCGGCGGCGTCGGTGATCTCCACGTACTTCTTGTCGTCGGCGCCGAGGTCCATGAAGTCTCCGAACAGCAGGAGGCGGCCGCCGGTCACCTCGCCCGGCTTCTTGCCAAACTCCGAACGGATCTTCTTGTTTAGTAAGCTGGAAAAATCCTGATGCGATCATCTGTTCTAAGTATCACTCGTAATGTCGAAAGCGGCGAGAGCTCACTTGACAAACCACTGGCGGTCCTCGTCGTTGATCAGGCGGTCCTGGTACACGCGCTGGTGCTCGTGGTACCACAGCCTGATGACGTCGTCTTCGTCCTGGGTTGGGTCAGACAGTGGCACTGCAGTTACTCGACGCGACCACAACTAGTGTTTGTGTTTGTTTTGTCTTTGTTCTCATTCACACATTATTATTATAACATTATTGTAAATGCGAAAGTAGGTTCTTTGTTTGCCTTTCGCGTCATATCTACTCAATCATCTTCATAATTTTAAAAAGAAAAAACGCCTGCTTCTCAGAGGGATAGATTTTGTCAACATTACGGAGGGTGAAGTCGTGAATGTCTAATAAGTATTCCATTTTTTGTCCCAATAAAATCTTCCTACGTAGGTCCAAAGATAATTTTTTTAAGGACATCTACAAGTAATATTTAGAACCACATGTTCAACCAGCTAACCTTGACAAGCCGAGGATCCATCATCAGTATACCCTGGAAGACTTTACTAAGATCCCTCATGTTGAAAGTGTAGTGAGACTTGGTAGGAGTCGGCAGAAGTTCCTCCACGAGAGAGCTGAAGATATCTATGGACGCCTTCAAGAATGGGGCCTCTCTTATCGACACCTTGTCGAAATTTCTCGTCCAAGACTTCAAGATAACGCTGAAGATTGTGTACTGCGAAGAAATGAAATTATTACTATTTTAGTAAGAAATGAAAAGAGGATAGTTACGTGTGCTTGAATGCAATTTTTTTTTAACAACGAGGCTCCTACGGGATCCTCTTGTCAAGGGGATGGAGCTTCACTTGAGAGACCACGATAGGCATAAAAATGATAAGCTCTGTAATCTTCGACCTGATGTCCGGGCTTGATCCTGGATCTAAGCCGGGACACATAGGAGAGCCCGTGATCAGGCCCTCTCGTCGCAACCACAGTGATACTCCAGCGCCGGCAGCTGCGCCTGGCACCCTGGATGTTGGGTGCCTGCCACAGTGCGCCGTCGCACGCACAGACCCGTCGCAGTAAGTGTATCCCTACCTTGCTAGTATACTCCATCTCCGTAAATGAAATGTAGTGCATGTGGCGCAGCAGCCTGGCCGTGACGGGGTTCCGTCCTCCCCCGGCCGGTCCCATGGCGCCCACCATGGTCACGTCCACCAGGGTCTTGAACTCGCCTATGTTCAGACGGTCGTACCAGCCTGCACCACGCCGTATGATTGTCAATTTATATTACAGTAACGTAATAGATGTTGTGACCTAACAACTACTTCGCTTTCTATAAAGTTTTATAGAAAAACGTTACCAGAAAAGTCCATAAACTGTCTGAGCAGCTCGATGGGAGGTTGCGCTCCGTAGACCTCAAGCGCGGGCATGTTGAGGTCGTCGATGAAGAACACCTGGTACTTGGTCGGCGGCGGCCCGAATACTCCGCGGCGCCGACGTTCCAGCTTACTGTCGATGACGTCCTGAGCACACGACCGGCGCCATTAGCAAGGGGATACAGTGGGGCGGCCGGCTGCGGGCCCCGCCGCGTACCTGGGTCTGGTTGGCCGAGGTCCTCGCCGAGAACACGATGAATTCGCAAATGAACTTCTTGTGCAATCCGCGGCTGAGCTTGGAGGTGATGGTGAGCGTCTTGCCGGCGCCCGTGGGCCCCACGCACAGCGCCGCCCGCTGGCACCACACCTTGTAGCCCAGCAGGGCCGCGCTGCGCACGTTGTCTATGGTCGGGACTTCGATATCTGCGACAGAAGCATTATCGCAACTCTCACCAAAACCAAAATAATTATCAATAGGTTTGACATTACCGACCGTAAAATAGAAACTTAACCTTAACCAGAAATTATAATGAGGAGGTAAACTTTGTCCAATTATCTTGGCATACAGCATACCAAGCATTAAACAGTTACCAGAGTCAGCAACGTGGCGTCACGAGGTGAGTCTCAGTTGGCTCCTCCAGTAGTAAGCAACCCATATAATGATCATCCCTCGCTCTCATCCACTGCGAGGAGTGGTCCGTCTCTCTACTCGTAGTACCCAAATGATCAGACCCGAGTATTGGCAGTCCGGGTCCACTTCGTAGGCGTCCAGGTTCTGCATCCAGTTGTACCAGTAGGGCGCGGCGGGCTCGCCGTCCTCGGTCGGCTCCGTGAACCCGCCGTCGTGCAAACTGAATTATTTTATATCCATTTTTAGATTCTCGTTTCTCTAATATTGGAGAATTATGTAATTTTCAAAGTTTACATTTTCTTTTTAAATTCAATCAGCGGCATTATTGTGAAAAGTGAGTATATGCTATATACAAGTAAATTAGACAAATGTTCAAGGTTGAATAAATCATTAATCCACTATGGAAGCACACGAAAATATTTGACTGTAATGTTTACTATCACTCAGAGACGACCGTAGTAGCAAGAGAGGTCAGGTATCCAACTATCTCTAGAGACTACAAGAAATATGGAATATTCGACTCACGTGTAGTCATAGACCCTGCCCTCCTTGGGAAAAGGCGGCTTGAGTCCGTTCTGCGTGGTGAGGTCGCGCATGAAAGTGGAGAACACGGCGCGGCCCGCCAGGTCGCACGTGGCACCCACGGTCCACACCGTCGCCCACACCACCCAGCACGGCGCCAGGCGGGCTAGAGGAACCGCCCACGTGTAGAGTAAGTACTGGCCCCTGGTACACTGTGAGCCCCCGGATCGATCTCATGTCGCCTCAGTGGGTGCAAGGAACTTTTTTTATTATTTTGCTTATATGGGTGAACGAGCTCACAGTCTGCTTGGTGTTAAGTGGTTACCGGAGCCTATACACATCTACAACGTAAATTTTCAAAGTAAATTCGTAATTTTTTTTTATGACAGCTTTGTGTCATCCAGCACATGACCTTAAAAAAACCAGAACGATTTGTAATTCTTGTATAGAGCAGCAGGTGCCCTGACCTCCACCGACCAAGTTCACGAGAGAGCAGAGAAGGAGCGCGGACTAACGCATGAGGGCTATGAAGGCAGGTCCCGGCGGAGGCTTGTCGTCCTTCCCGGTGAGCGGTCGGAGCCTGAAGTCCAACAGTTCTAGGAACTTTAAGACCAGTGCCGAGTCCAGGGACGGCACCATCTCCGTGAGCTTGGTGCGCAGCAGCACCAGCGACGGGTACAGGTACGTCGTGATCAGGTTCGGCAGAATCTTGCGTATGTTATCCGCCATCTATAGGAGGAGGGAGGTATATAGCGGGTCCTCCAGGTCACCACTGCGCATGATTTGCTTTTTTTATAGCCCGTGTAGGCAGACGAGCATACGACCCACCTGATGGTGAGTGGTTACCGTCGCTCATAGACGTCAACAATGCCAGGGATAGTGCCAAGCCGCTGTATACCATTGAGTACTGTCAACCAACCTCGTTTGTCTGGACAGAGCTTATTTGAGGTTCAACGGCAGAATGGAGCGGTCGCAAGTCGTGGTGCACTTCGACACTTGAAAATGACTACAATTGTTGATATTCTTATTAATTCACATTTTAACTTTCGATGTAATACTGTTTGTTTAGGGACGCGTTGAGTCCTCGGTAACGCAGTGCAACCGGCGTACCTCACCGCACTGAAGAACTCTGTTGAGACTATAACGTGTCGCATTGTAATGGCAGTCACTGTAATGAGCCAGCCAGTGAACTGGTCACAGATGCTAGTTGCCGTAGGTGGCAGTAGATGGTACAGTACACTGACCGGCGGGATGGAGGAGCGGAGCCAGGCGTTGACGAGCGGCAGCAGGCCCACCACCTCCGCATCGATGTAGACCATGCCGCAGCGCGACACCGTGGCGGGGGACGCCACCGCCAGGTCCGCCACCTCGAACAGCATGCGCTGCCGCTCCGTCAGCTTCATGATCTCGCCGCTCGACAGGCACAACTTCTTGTTGTCGTCCAGCACCTGCAGCAGCGCACTGTACTGCCACCGCACCCGCTCCCCTACTGCGGGCCGGGGCTACCACTACGTCGGCACCACTACACGAGCCCGAGACACATTAACGCTGTATTTAGCCAATTATATGCTATAAGCATACTTTTAATATATTTATAATTTTGTAACGCAAGTATCGAACTAACAGTATTCATATTCTCGATCCAGACAGCGTCAACCGGCCCGTCGAAGACATACCATCGCTTGTCCATGTCTTCCACCGCGATGCCCATGCGGACCAGACTCGATAAGATGCCATCCGTCCTTTACAACCAGCCACAAATGAATTTTGCAAACCAAAAGAACTGCAAGGATTTTATTTATTGTATTTGTAGGCAGACGAGCATACGGCCCACCTGATGTAAGTGGTTACCGTCGCTCATGGATGTCAGTAATACCAAGGAATAGCTAAGTCGCTGATTACCATTAAGTAATCTCCACAAACCTCATTTGAAGAAGGACATGTCACAGCGCTCGGGAAACACCGTGGAAGGGAGCTCATTCCAAAACACAGAGGGAATCGAAATCCCTCCGTACGCCCAATGGAAGTAGCTGGTATTTAGGAGCCCCGGCCCAGAGGTGAGAGCAGTACACTACGCGCCGTTGGAACAGCCCTTTGTAAAGCGCAAGTCTTTGCCCAGGCGTGAAATACCGCCATATTCGTCAATTTGAGAGAGCACGCTGCCACGCCCTCAGCGTGTTCTCCGAGTCCTCAGCTATGAGCGGCTTAGTAGTGGTCTTGTCATACCTGATGTCAATAAGCAATGATGACCACTCATCGTCAGAATGCGTCTCGTCCTTTGCAAAAAAAAAAACAAGAAATTAATGAGCTCTCCATAATCGCTCATTACTACGGTTATATAAGAGCGAGTGTATTGAAACCAACCATTCGTGAGTCTGGAGGTCAAACTCCCCGTACAGCTGCCCCATCGTTATGGACTTGGGGTTGACCACGAAGGTGTGCACCGGGGCGAAGGGAGTGCCGTCCGGGGCGGGCTTCCCTTTGATGGCGGTCAGGGCGTCGCGCAGGATCTCGTAACACTTCCAACGATAGTTTAACTTAACGTCAGCTCGGCACTGCACACTGTCGCAACATCACGCACGCATGCACGCACGTACACGCACACACACGCACATGCACACACACGTACACGCACACGAAATTGAAAAAATAAAATAACGTGGTTTTTACGGAGCAGCATATTAATTAAAGCCTTATTTAAAATTATATCAACAAGTACAATTAGAAGTTCATAGATCTTCTATATATAATATATGTTCTCTGAGTACGGTCGAGTTAATAATATAAATAGCATTTTTAAAACCAAGACCAAAAAAAAGAAGATGCTACCTTGGTCTTCCCGGCGCCCGCGGGCCCCACCAGCATCAGGCCGTGCCGGACCACCGTGGTCTCGTACAGCTGAATTATCTTGAATATAAAGGCTGAAAACGATATACGTGATGTCCACGGGCATCTGTGCATTGCGTACAGCTCTACGTATGAGCGCCCGTTGGATATAGTCTACCAAACACTCGTGTAGATTTTTCTTGTATTCTGTAATGTTGGTGACAGTAAGGGTCTGTCGCAGTAGCACAACTCACCGTAGACGTCGTCGTACCCTCGCTTGACGAGCACGCTGCGGATGGACTGCTCCATGATCCCGTAGTCCACCACCGGGATCTCCACTCGCGGGAACAGATCCGATATTATACCTGTTGGCCAAACTTCATATTATGAGGACAACAACTTCAACAGGCTTTTGTAAAAATGGCCCTGATCTCCTGGACGAGTGGTTTAAATAAGACAAGTCGCGGTAAAATGTGCTTGGGATGATCTTATTTGTCCATTATTTGCAGAGTCCTCTCGTACTTTATCAAAATAAGCAACTAACCGGTGGTAGAACTTCTTGTGAGTGTTAGTTCTGCCGTGAAGCAGTAATGTGTTTCGATTTGAAGGGTGGGGTAGCCGTTGTAACTATACTGAGACCTTAGAACTTATCTCAAGGTGGGTGGCGCATTTACGTTGTGGATGTCTATGGGCTCCAGTAACCACTTAACACCAGGTGGGCTGTGAGCTCGTCCACCCACCTAAGCAATTAAAAAAAAACGGTTGCTGTCGGAGCGCAAAGCTGATCTCGCCGAGTCAAGAAAGCGACAACACAGAAGAGCTAGATAGAGAATGAGGCGGGTCGGGGCGCACCGTTGAAGAGCAGCAGGTCTTCGGCGAGGAACTTGGGCACGTTGACGTCCCGCAGCGCGCGCAGCACCAGCTGGCGCTCGTCGCCGCCGGGCTGCTGCCGCATGAGGTTGCCGGCCACCACGATCACGGTCTTCACGGCGCGCATGCCGAAGTCGTAGTGGTCCTGGGGCACACGGCACGCTCACCAGTCGATAACTACGCTTTTTAACTTAAATGTTGATGATAACTTTAGAAACAAGTGTAACAGTAACTGTAACTACTTGTATAGCAAACAATGTCGTGATTTCATTATGCAGACTAAAGTTTCACTATTTCACTTTCACACACTTTCGCTTTCATATTTAGACACATTTCACTACATTTCATGAGTAATGAACTTTATCCGAACCTGAGAAGACAGTTGTTCCGAACTAAGTCTGAAGGTAGTGGTGATCTTCCCTGCGAGGATCTTTGCTTCGTAGAAGCCGTAAGAGAAAAGAGAAATTTCCGCGATGAGAGCATAATCTGGAACCATCATGGCGATGGGGCGGAAGAGAGCCTTCAAATTTTCAGGTAGCTCCGTGCGACCTGGTGGACGGTAACAGATTGAAGGAGTTAAGAAGACTGCCTTGGTATTCTGGTCCGACACTACCACCGACTCACCTGCTATAATTTTTATAATTTTTTTTTGTGACTTACCCAAGTCAATACGACACTGTGATCTGTTGTTTCGGACTGTGGTCGATCATGATCAATTTCAAAAATCAAAAGTCTACGTAGTACATTAAAATGTTGAACTCTCGTTCGCAGTGGCACACACAAGGTCGCCCTTACACCGGGCAAGTATCGCAGAATCAATAAAGTACATTTGACCAACCTGCATATCCAGGGTTCATGGTGATGAAAACTGAACAGGAAGCCTTGATGGGCAGCTCGATACCCTCGAACATGAACTTGTCCAGCTTGGCCACTTGCGCTTTCTGGATCGTCGCCACCTTGTCCACGATAACGTCGCATTAATCAGAATCTTTACACTTTACTGGACCAACTGTCCTTTCACAGGAATTTCCAAAATTCTTTTTGGAAGTGCGGTACTGGTTCGGACCAGTTTCCAGAGATCTTTTTTGCCACGTACCATCCGGCTATGGAATGAGCTCCCCTCCACTGTGTTTCCCGAGCGCTATGACATATCCTTCTTCAAACGAGGCTTGTGGAGAGTATTAAACGGTAGGCAGCGGCTTGGCTCTGCCTCTGGCATTGCTGAAGTCCATGGGCGACGGTAACCACTCACCATCAGGTGGGCCGTATGCTCGTCTGCTTATACGGCAATAAAAAAATATATAAAAAAACCTACTTGCTGCGCAACTACGGAGAGCACTTCAATGTCTATTCTGTTAAACTCATCGAAGCACGCCCAGGCCCCTGAACTGGAATAACATTAAAATGATAAATGAAGTAAGTATTGTAAGTACAATAAGTACAGTATATACTTCAGAAATCTTCTGTTTTCTCGTGTATCAAATCTTTGAAAGGTCCATAGTCCATCAAAAGGGCAGTAAAGTCGTAAAATACTCACGCAGCCAATCCCTTAAAGAACTTGCCCATCGCCATGTAGTCCAGCTGGTCCGAGCAATTGAACACCACGCATTGAACGGCTAAGGCTTTGGCTAAATCCTACAACGCAAGGGTCAATTGTTATGTAGACCGTTATCAACTTAACGAGAGGTCATATTGTGTGATTTGTAGCGTGGGAAGTAGAAATTTAAATATATATGACAAAAGAATTTCAAGAAGAAGATGATGATTCAAGTAAGGTCGTTTAGCCCTAGAAAATCATACTAGTACGGTGTGGATCGTCAGTGGCATGGTGATGGCAGGGACGCCGGTTACCTTCGTGGTCTCGGTCTTGCCGGTGCCGGCCGGGCCCGCGGGCGCCGCGCCCTGGTGGACCCGCATGGCGCACATCAGCGTGAGGTAGCACCGGTCCGTCAGCGGCGTGATCACCAGCCGGCCGCTGCGACACACCCCACCTCACTGCTCAGTGGTACTCGGACAGACAATGGACTACTTCTAAGCACAGTGTGAGCTCGCAAACCCACCCGCAAAGTCATTTGAAACATAGGATTACTTAAGTGACGTCTGTGATCTTTAAATTTCTTTAAATAAACATACAAGCTCCCCGTCGTTTGTGGAGTTAAACAGGGACTGCTAATGATTTGTAAGCACCTACCGGTTTTCATCTTGAGTCATAATGTTGATGGCTTCAGTAACATCATTTCCTAAACATATATCTAGATTATAGCCCGAACCACATGGCTCCTCACCTGTTCCCGAGATATTCATTCTGGTAGATGAAGACTGCATTAAGAGCTCTGACTTCGCAGCAGTTCTGACTAAACTGCCGATAGTACATGCTCGTGTCGAGGACCTCCTCGTCCTGGTACACTTCCGGGGACTCGCCCTCTTCCAGGGGACGGGGCTCGTTTACCACCTCGTAATATCTAAAATTCAGACTCGATGTCATTATTTATTTATTTATTTGGGAAACAAACAGTACAATACAAACATATAATATTTTAAAAAAATATAGCTAAAACAATAACCAAATATGTTTCCACAATCAAAATCACATATAAGTAAAAAGTGAACAAGAAGAGAAATTTAGAAATTTAAATTACAAAAAAACAAAAGCAACACAATACGCACATATTATTTTATACATCAACTATACTACTTATCGGGCTAAATCACCTTATAAATATTTTAAAATATGATAAATTGTTCCGTCCGGCTAGCGGTGGCAAGTTGTCTCGAGCACTGGTGCCGGCTACACTAAGCGCGAGCACAAGTGGCGACATGAGCGGGTACTGACCGCAGCTGCGAGATCCAGTGGAAGTCCGTGAGCGCGCGCACGGCCCGCAGCGCGTCCGTGACGTCACGCGCGTGCACCTCCACCACGAGCAGCGCGCACACCACCTCGCGGTGGAACCACGACAGCTCGCCCTTCACCAGCGCGCGCAGGCTGTCCAGCTGTGCGCCGCCGACATGGGGACATTGGACACAGAGGATAGGAAACAGGTTGGCGCCGATTTAGAATGATTTATTGAAAACCATACCTGTTTCAGCATATTCTCATAGAAGACGTCGACGCAACAGTTCCGTATGGCGTCCTCGACACCGGCGGTCCAGGCCAGCTGGCTGCCCGCGATGACGACCTGCCCCGGCCAGCGCAGCACCCACTCGGCGCGGGGCAGCACCCAGATCTCCTCCAGACTGTCGATCAGGGTCAGTCGGACTGAGGGGACCAGAGAACAAGCTGTAGCAACATCTGTCGCCGGTCACGCTTCAACAAGTAATGTTCGATTACAAGTGTGTAGTTCAGATTTGATCCCTCTGTACGATCTACGATAAACTACTCTTGTTTAATAGAATTTCTCAACGTTGCCTTTCTTTCACTAAAATAAAAGAACTATAGAAACTAATTAGGTAATGGATTGTTCTCCTCCATAATTGAATGTCGCGATCGAAGATCGGGTAAAACAAAATAATTTAATTCACTTTTAGGTATATAGACGGCTTACCTCAGTAATTACACTTTTTTTTAATACACAATATGATTCTTTCGTCGTGAATTCATCCGCGTTAGGACACATTTCACTAAAAGTTTGGTTACGACTGCGGGACTCAAGCCCCGGCACAGTCGCATCGGCACGAGTGCACCGCGCGTGTTGTCCTTTATTAGGCCACGACGCCGTCAAGCCCGGGCCAGTCCGACCTGTTTGTTGTAACGTAGAAACTAACTGGTGTTCTTCATGGTGTCCTCCAGCAGCAAGAGCCACTGTTCCACGTTTGCAGTGGGGTAGAACTTGTACTTGAGCTCCACCGTCTCCCCCTCGCTGGAGTGCATCTCGGTTATTCGGAGATCCGATTCAAAGGTCACCTATTGTTATCATTCCGAACTATAGCTATAGAACATTATGTAAGGGTATCCTATAAGATTTTAACAACATCTATAAATATAAATGAAAAATAATAAATTAGCAAAGACAAAACAGTTAATTTCGGTCCCCTACGGTCCCCGCGCTTGTCAACCGACTTCCCCTCTGGTTGCGTTCGTGATGATGTCCGTTAGTCGCGAGCTCGTCGCTGTCGCTATATAGCATGCGACGTCTCGCACGCCGCCCCGCGCCCGCAGCGCCGTGCGGTCCGGCGCCGCGGTGCTGCGACGTGCTTGCGGCGTGCGGGCGGCGCCGCCTGGTGTCGGCGCGCGTCGGATGTGACGTCGAGTAATATTTATAAAACATATTTTATTCCCGATGTTTTTCGATTACAAGCAGACATGATTTAGCTCTGAAATGACCTTTTTTCTGGGGTGTTTCTTATAAACTTTTCCCCTACTTCTACAGATTCGCGCGGATCTGAGAGAACGAGCTAACACTAGTCTCAGAAAGAGCAGTGCTTCGCAAAAGGCTCAGAGCTTCTTAAGCACTATATCCCTAAATATCATTTCCTATGTTAACAACAATGTTGATCTTATTTTAAATCAACATTAGATGATGATCGAGCTTTGCTCGATTTTTTTGTTTGATAAATTCTATTTTTTAGAAATTATACTTAAATACGAATTACATATTGATAAAATGATAAAATATTTCAAGATCGTTTAGGCATTTTTAAGTGAACACGTGAGTTAAAAAGACACAAATAATATAAATAAACAATTCATTTTCTTGGTCTAACCTTAAACCAAACACTCATTGGCTTTGGGTTGCTTAACAACGCCATCTGCTGAAGCTTTAGTGTGTCTTTAAAGCAGTTAGTTGCTCTCAATTAAGAAAAATAGTATTATTATTCGCCAATAGATGTCGGGAAGAGTCAAAGTTGATTATTGAAAACACGAATAAAACAACGTTTTCTGAAAATAAATCGTAGCTAGATCGATTTATCGCCCCTGAAATCCCTTGTATACTAAATTTTATGAAACTCGTTGGGGCCGTTTCCGAGATTCATATTATATCTATACAAAAATTGCTCGTTTAAAGATATAAGATAAGATAGACGAACCTTGGCAATATTCTCGAAGCACTTCTTGAGATGCGGCTGGACGGAGGCGGGGTCCCGCGCGTGCGCCAGGATGAGCAGCAGGTCGTCGTCGCTGAGGAAGAAGAAGCGCGGGAAGCAGAGCCTCTTCCGCGCCGTGTAGTGCGCCAGGCCGCGCGCCACCGCCGCCAGCAGCCCGCGCGCCTCCCGCACGCTCTCCAGCACCGCGCCCTCCGCGCTCGCCAGCATCTGCGGCGCCGCATCCGTCAGCTCGCGCCCAGCACCGCCGCGCGCCCCCCCACCCACCTACCTTGGGACACGCGGCCGCCGTCCCCATGATCCTCCTCCATATCCTCTCCATGGTCCCGTACTTCTTCGCCTCGAAGGGGAGCTGTCTGGAGATGTCCTCCGACGTAAAGATAGGCTCTAGGTACATCCAGTCCCTGGTTATGAACAAGTACAGTTTGAGATGAAGTATGAACTTTTTAAGGATCTGCAACATTAGAAACGTTATCTTCTTTGAACTAGCGGCGGCATGGTAATGATATGGCATTGTCGATGTCCATGGGATGTCGGCGGTCAGAATAAACACAACTTTTTTCCTTCAAATTTAAAACGAATAAAGTAAAGTTCTAAAAATTTAAATACTAACTTCTGACATTCGATCCATTCATCCAGAACCATCTGCATCATCCTCAACTTGCTGTCCCACTCCTCGATACGGAGTTCAAAGGCAGCCTTGAACGGACTGAAGCCGAGTTGCTGGGTGGCCAGCAGGTGCTCGTCCAACAACTGGAGGGTCTCGTCGGGGACCTTCATCACGTACGTTCCTAAAAGTGGAGGGCNAAATTTAAATACTAACTTCTGACATTCGATCCATTCATCCAGAACCATCTGCATCATCCTCAACTTGCTGTCCCACTCCTCGATACGGAGTTCAAAGGCAGCCTTGAACGGACTGAAGCCGAGTTGCTGGGTGGCCAGCAGGTGCTCGTCCAACAACTGGAGGGTCTCGTCGGGGACCTTCATCACGTACGTTCCTAAAGGTGGAGGGCGGCGTTTGTGCAGAGGCCAAACCGAACTGGTCCCAACTTACAAACCACATTCGCTTTCAGAAACAAGCTGACAGCGCCGCAGCAGAACGTTGCCGCGTCCGTGTTCGCACAGGCAGACGCACCGCAATGTAGCATGCGTTATATTACTGCTACTAAGTTAATTTCAATTAACTTCAATTAACTTAATTTCAATTAACACTAGATAATGAAAATAATAATGAGATATGATTTAAGAATTCAAGATTTGACTATTAATAATGAATACATACCGGTGTTCTTGTAAGGCGTGATCTCCATGGTCTTGGTGGCCCAGTCCGTCTGCATCTTGTCCAGGGCCTGCTCGATGACGTACTCCTTGGAAGCGAGCTCACCAATCTGCGCGATGAGGTCGCCGTGTTTGCCGACGCCTTGTTTGAGACACATGTCGAACGTCTGCTTCTCGTTCATGGTCAGGGTTATACCTGTTTGTATTGTAACAATCTACGTCTAGAAGAGACACATTACAACTGAAGGTTTAATATTATTCTAGGGAATAGTTAAAGATAAACTGTTTTTAGTCCAATCTATTAAAACCTTTTTTCGCTAAAGGACCCAAACTTTAGTTAAGCTAAGGCGCAAAGTGACCCCGGCGGAGGCAGTCGAAAGGCAAAAATGACTCGTCTCTCTTCGTTCCGGAGAGCTCATCTACCGTTTATTTATTCCATGATGGAGGACGTAGCGGGTAGCATTGTGGAATAAAGCAGATGAGTCGTGAACTTGTTCAGCCATCCACATATGTACTTAATGAATAAAACCAAGACGCAGTTTGAGTCACTGTTAAGGGTATGGGGAAGAAGCGATAAGTTGGAACAATTATACGTACCGGCTTTCTCCATGAACTCGTTCCAGTGTCTTTCCTTCATCCCAGGGTTCCGAACGGCTTGGATGATGGGGATCAACGGCCGAAACTCGTCGATGTCGTTCTACGAGCGCGTACAAACTCCGAAGGTTAGAACCAGATGAGCCGATGTCGACCGACTTATCGTTTAGTGTCGCTGTGTCGCCGCATAGGCATCACAATGTGAGTAATGCCCCACCCCCTTTTGAGCGCGAGGTTTACACTGGTGGTAGAACCCCTTGTGAATCCGCACGGATAGGTACCACCATCCCGCCTATTTCTGCCGTGAAGCAGTAATGCGTTTCGGTTTGAAGGGTGGGGCAGCCGTTATAACTATACTTGAGACCTTAGAACTTATATCTCAAGGTGAGTGGCGCATTTACGTCGTAGATGTCTATGGGCTCCAGTAACCACTTAACACCAGGTGGGCTGTGAGCTCGTCCACCCATCTAAGCAATAAAAAAAAGAGATTGAAGTATTCTCTCGGTATCGTGAATAACTTTCGACATAGACCGACTTTATTTACGTGAACAAGGGAATTGAAACCACTGACAGTAGTATAATACCATGTAAAGGATATCATATAATATTAAGAAGTCGTCTTAAGGGCTTAGTTTAACACCACAGAATATAGTTTAGGGTTTATACGCAATTGAATTGTTACGGCTGGCGCACCCTCCTAATTGGTTGGCGATAGAAATAGACAGGACGGTGTTACCCCCGGACCTGTACACCACGAATCTGCCAACCCGTTATTATGGCGCAGTCGGAATATTGCACCGATTTTAAACCTAATGACAAAATCAACTAACCTTGACTGAAATAGCTACATTCTGAACTTTAGGCAGATCGGCGAAAACCTTGATGCACTTAAGCACCGTCTTATAGTACTCGTTGACTAGCGGCTCGATGCTGTCCGCGTCCACGTACATCAGCGGGTTGTCCACCCACACCTCGCGAGCTTTCAGGAAATCTACATCACCACAACACAACATCATCATCATCAGCCTGTATCTCTCCACTGTTGGATGTAGGCCTCTCCCATAGTCCGCCACAATGAATGATCCTCCGCCTTCCGCATTCAGTCTCTCCCAGCATATCGCCGCAAGTCATCGGTCCAACGGGGGCAAGGGGACGCCCAACGCTGGAGGACCACAACACAGGGGTCTATCACAAATTACAAGCAGACTAATGTCCAAGTATAATTTATTGCACTGATTGTCTTTGTGACACCTGTAGTTGAGATGATCTCTCCGCCATCTACTGACATGCCTCTCTACCCAGTCAACTAAGTCATCGTATTTCCAACGTGTACATACCCGAAGCGGTTACCCAAAGGTTCCTGTACGGCTCAAATTCCTTGACCAGTCGGTTGAGATCGGCGAAGGGCACTACCGGCTGCCCGAATAGTTTCTGTCTTTGGTTGAGAAGGCGGCCCCAGTCCTGGGCATCCTTCATACCCTTCCAAGCCTTTTTAATGTCGTTGGCTATTTCGTGGACCTGAGGAACAACAACGCATAATACATTCAATGGCCGACAATAACTCGTGGAGCCATTAGAGCTGTCACTGGGCCGCAGCACAGCGCGTCACCTTGTTGAAGTCGTTCTGCAGGGTGAGCTGCATGCACTGCGCCGTGAACATGTCGATCTTGTCGAACAGCGCCTGCTCGTCCTGCTGGTGGAGCTTCCAAAACTTCTCCTGCTCTTCTTCCAAGAACTCTATTGTGGCCACCACCTTCGCAGCAGAATATAATATAATAATATAATCACTTCTCTCAAAACATAACACGAATAGCCCATCGCGGCCTCGGTGGGGACCACTAACGTTGACAGTCCTTAACACGTGACTTAGAGTCCAGTAAAAAAATTGCAAATTTCGTCATATAATTTTGTACATTAGTATTGCAAGGCTTTTCATTTGATTGTAACTAACTTGCTTATTGATGTTCAGAGGCCATCCAATGGCTTCCCACAGCGCCTTGAAATCTTCGTTCTCCAGAGGCGTGAAGAATGCGTCCAGCACTTCATAGTCCTGGTGAAGGAGCCACGTCATCATGAAGTTCTTTAACTATGTCATTATTTTCTAAGTTTGAACGTTAATAAAATGTGTATTTCGTCTCTAATAATTTGAAAGTAATAACAAATTCAGAGTAATTTCTTTTAAATGAAATATCATTAATTTTGAAGCCCTACGCATTCGGTGACAACTGAAATTTTAACATTGCCTGCTTCCGCTGAGGTGAGGAAATGACCTACCGTGAAGACCTTCTTCATGATATCATCTTGAGTCTTCAGAGCAAAAGGCACGGACTCCATCCACTCCCTGATCTCGAACACGTGCTCGATGGTGTTTGGCTTCTCGCCCAGCTTCCTCATGACGGCTCTGTAGGCCTGAATCACGTCGTCCACCATCAGCCTCACCTCCTCCGCCCACATCGTGAGCAACGCCTTTATGATCTCCGATCTTTTATTCACTAACATTTGCTGAAATTGGTAAACACACACAATGCGACTTGGATTCAAGAGAGTCCTCCGTTACTACGCCATCCTTAAAATTATTAGAAAATATTAATAGCAATCCCGAGATAGAACNCTGTAGGCCTGAATCACGTCGTCCACCATCAGCCTCACCTCCTCCGCCCACATCGTGAGCAACGCCTTTATGATCTCCGATCTTTTATTCACTAACATTTGCTGAAATTGGTAAACACACACAATGCGACTTGGATTCAAGAGAGTCCTCCGTTACTACGCCATCCTTAAAATTATTAGAAAATATTAATAGCAATCCCGAGATAGAACTGCTGGTTTTTCCAAAGATTACAAACGAGGACCAAGGTACCATAGTTAAAAAGGACCCAATTGTTCAGTTTTGTCATACTAACTTTAAGGGTGTCTACGTTGATGGCAAAGGGTCCTATCACAATGTACTGCGGCAGGCGCCAAATCAATTCCTGTTTGGCGTCATAATGCATCTGGAGCTCTTCGCGAGTTTCCGAGGATGAGTGCTTCTCCTCGCGGAACTTTCTGGAATGACGATCTTTATATAAATTGAGCCGTTATACAAGCAAGGTCTGCAGCAGGTTTCAACTCGCGTGAATGTCAAGTTCCGCTGCAACAGCACGATGGAGAAACTCTTAATACTCTGTGAGCCCGCAAGCGTCACTGGATAAATAGCAAAGCCTGTCTGCGGACATGAAGTTCAATTTCAATAACATCAAAGTTTAGTACGGTGCCCCGAATTACAATGATTTATAATACTCGTGGGATTTATTTTATCAAACAGTTAGTGGAACTGAACAGCGCTAATTGTATGAAAAACTTGATTACTTCAAAATACTCGGGAACCATGTATCGTGTGTCGATACAATGACAGAAATCTACCTGTTGTTCATTAGAGTTGGGTCAAATGATTTTTTTGTAAGCCTTTATTGCTGATACTAAACAACGATATTTACACATTGTAGCAAATTGTTTTAACTTAAATGATTTAGGTACGCATAAAAATAATGCCATGCCCAAACATAGTTTTAATTACGGGAAAGTTTAAAAAAAACACAGATAGGTATATATTTATTTTTACCCGTAAATGCTTCGGATCAGAAGATGAAGCTTTGTACTTCTTACTTTAAAATTACAGATTTCCATAAAACAGTAGGTATTCCTTTTGTGTTACTCCCTCAAAAAAATAAAATTAATATAACATCGCAGACATCAATTGCTAAAATTTCAATTTTGTAATCTCAGCGGCTTAGGCTGAACAGTCTTGAGTCCGTCCGTCCGAATTGTGTTAACACTGCTGAAAACTCTGAATAAGCGTACCATGCTTCACGACTTGTCGAACTTCGCGGTAGGCAGCGGCTTGGCTCTGCCCCTGGCATTACTGAAGTCCATGGGCGACGGTAACCACTCACCATCAGGTGGGCCGTGCGCACGTCTGCCTACAAGGGCAAACAAAAAAAAAAAACAAAAAACTAAAATAAGGCAAGAAACAACTCACTCCACATACTGCTCCACGTCGAGCTGATACAGAGAGGTGTAACACTCGTACTGTCGCAGATAGGCGAGGAGGGGCACTTTGGCCTGACGGTATGCTCTCAGCAGCCGCTCCCTGTACTCGACCACGTTCGGTTCCAGTAAACCTGGGAGAAGCCAGGTCCTACGAGTCAACTGAGGCCCATATTAAAATAAACACTAGGGTCAATGAAGTGAAGTTTATCTCCGAGAGAAAACTACCATGTGAAACTATGTGGCCACTACTATGGGAAAGGGATAATGGTAAGCGTTTCTTTTTTGATTGGAAGACTATCAAAGAACTACTGTAAATTAGGAGTTTTCAACTTGTTTTGCAGGGCTCTCGTTATAAACTTTCTCTGGCTATAATAGAGAGGGAGAGAGAGTGAGATAGCAAAGACACTGATTATAGCATGTCTTGTGAGGCCGCACGGGCACCACCACCCTGCCTATCTCTGCTGTGAAGCAATAATACGTTTCGGGTTGAAGGGTGGCGAAACCGTTGTAACTATACTGAGACCTTAGAACTTATCTCAAGGTGGGTGGCGCATTTACGTTGAAGATGTCTATGGGCTCCAGTAAACATTTGACACCAGGTGGGCTGTGAGCTCGTCCACCCATCTAAGCAATAAAAAAAAAACTTATAATTACATTTTACAAGAAAGCAGGCTTATTCATGTACCAAACAAGAGAATGAAATCTGAGAGCCCCCAGACAAATACATCAAGTCTCCACTAAAGACCTCATCTATTATTGTATTTCGGAAACACTCTCGGCTCATTTTCTATTTAACATCCTGACCATGGACTTATACCAAATAGAGATATTAAAGGTACGAAGAGACCATACCTATAGAAGTGAGGTACAACTCTTTGTCGAAGACGAGTCCCCTCATGATCATCGGGCTCACTTGCGGTATGAAGTGACATTTGTACAGCATGTCGCGGAACAGACGCTGCGTCACGACCTGGTGCACGCGGCAACTCATTACTAGTTTCTTTAAATTCTCATATAGCAGTTTTATTCACAAACTAGCTGTGCCCGTCCGCTTCGCTGGACATTTAAAATTAACATTATTATTTCTCACCCCCACAAATATTCTCATCATTAACGCCCCCGCAACTGGTGTAGGGAGTCCAACTCAAGACATTAGCCTATCCATTAAGTACATGTATTTTCTACATGGATACCATGTTTCAAGTCAATCGGATGCATGGTTCAGTAATTATAACGGAACATCCGTAAAAACCACTGTAGATTTATATATTAGTATAGAAGAGCTAGTGACAAAAACTATAATGCCGGTATCGCCGTCAGGTCCATCACGAGGTATCATACTGTCCAACTTAAAATTTTCGTAATTACAATGCGATTGACATTTCAAATTTAGTCATTACCTCTCAACACCATGTGGGCTAGTCGCTACATTTACGTCAACTGAAGACCAGACCAGCACCTAAGAATAGACTACAATACTTGAGAACTTTTCTATATGCCTGATCGGTGTACAAACCTCAAACTGTTCAGGATCTGTGGTGTAGTACGGTCCGTTCTCGGATATCATGAGGTGGAAGTAGAAGAGTGTTGGCGCGGACGTCCTAAAGGGCGTGTTGATTAGATCCTCAGAGTCCCACTCGAAGTCTTCTCCACAAGAGTAGGTACAGAGACAAGGAGTCTCGCACATTGCGACGTACATGGCCATAGATTGCTCCAAGCAGAACCTCAGTGCATACTAGTGGAGAAAGAGATGGAATCACTACTTGATTATTTACACAGAGATAACAAACTACAGAATTAAATATTAATGTTCTGTANGCGTGTTGATTAGATCCTCAGAGTCCCACTCGAAGTCTTCTCCACAAGAGTAGGTACAGAGACAAGGAGTCTCGCACATTGCGACGTACATGGCCATAGATTGCTCCAAGCAGAACCTCAGTGCATACTAGTGGAGAAAGAGATGGAATCACTACTTGATTATTTACACAGAGATAACAAACTACAGAATTAAATATTATTGTTCTGTATCGTTAGAGCCCTAAACTGGGATTTACTGAATTGTAACTATATGAAAGAGGCACGCGACGGAACAACTACAGCTGGACCCCAAATACCAAACATCTTCTTCGCAACGATTTCAACTCCTAATGAGAATCGAATTCGAGCACTGTGTAACATAAGTTAGGGTAACTAAACACCAGACCTCGGAGTAGCGCCGCGTGTCTGGTTGTAGTGTTGACCGCGGGGATCCCCCTACTCTAACCGGGTTTTGACCCCGGACGGAGATCGGACGTCGAGTGTAAGAGTGCAGGGGAGTCGTTTAGTGCGGTAGGGCCCTAAAATTCCTTGGGTTCACGGTCTGCTCCCAACACTTTGCAGATTATCAAGTTCCACATACACCGCGTGCCCCCTAGGCGCGAGGACCTCGTAGGAGGTTCGGCCTCAGGCCCGAAAAAAATATAATAAACACCAGACCAATGAGACTATTACAAACGTAACCAATTGCTAAAAATATTAGATAAGGATCCTCAATAAATATAAAATAAGGGTCTTTATTTGATCAAAGTCCACTTTTCGTGTCACTAACTGGTCTGTTTCCCTTCCTTGTGTTACATGTAGGTACAATAAACGACAGCACTAGTGTACCTGCATCCGGAACCGAATCAACTGCAAGAACCGGCACAGCTTGCTCACGCCGTAGAACTGCCACTTCTTCTCGTATATGTTGAACCACCTGCAAGGCAGAAGCATCTCCGGAGTTCAACTCTCTAGTCCTCAACAGACCCAGGTCTGATGATCTTACATCAAAATAGTCGATGCGACTCACAATCCTGATGTATGACCAAGAACAACCCCATCGTCAATTATTAATAACATTCTTCTTCTAATATTTCCTGTCAGACACAACTTTGAGTAGTTTGTTGTCATGATAAGGACCAAGATAAGAATAAAAACTTACAAGTTGCCAAAAAAATAAGGAAGTTTGAAGAGTCCATTCGATGATTTGTTACTACCAGTGTTCGTAGAGAGGCGAGCTTATGGGACTCGTGGTATAAAGTTATCGTATCTCAAGGTCTCGGTAAAACACTCCCTCAGCCTCAAAGGACGTCTCCCGTGACGTCATGTGTACTTGTCAATTATATCGAATAAGTTATACGAGGACTAAACACTGCACAGTTGAACTTACCCTTTACCGACATCCCTGAAGGACATTCGGATGGCATGCGCCGTGTTGTTCAGCCAGGTCATGTTCAGATACTTCAGCAACTACGAAACAAAATTGATTCCCTTGAGGCTTCATAACTACGAGCCGTAGGACAGTCAATACTGAGCATTTCAAATTGTCTGTCGCTTAATCGGCAAGATGGTCCGCGGACGAACGAATCTACTCGTGTCGATTGATGTTATTTGGCAGATGGTGTATTTTTTTTATTTTTTCAGCCAAGTGATCACCAGTTCAGAACATCAGCGAGTTGACAACAAGGTACACGAATTACAGGATAAACGTCGCCTCAATTATACGGTAGGTACAAAATACCGTGCAATAATAGTTGACGACACCTTGAGTTTCATTGAAAAAATATTTAATATGTATATCATGTTATGCATAGATTTTTGGTAGCAAATTATACGGTGACACTGGTAAGTGCCACAACGGGTAATGCTCGATAGCTAAGGCTCGGACCCGCGCGTTACGGCTTACAAGGCAGGTCTCCATACTTGTACACCTCATCCGTCAGTTAAGGGTATTATTCGGTTGAAAAGATAGACTAGAGACTTACTAGACTATGAGGAGTTACCGCATTCAACCTACCATAGAAGTACAGTGTTGCTGAGCAGCATCGAACTCGGCAAGAGTGGCGTTCCTGCCATAGTTACTCGTGAAGAACAACATTGATTCCACCTGTTTTCAAAACCCACGGTGAACTTTATTATTATCAGAACAAATAATGTTAAATTGATACATATATGATATTCATTTGATACACTGAATGTTGCCCACTTAGTATCTTGCCGGATCTTCTCAGCGGGTCGCGATTCCGATTTGGTGGTAGATTCTGTGAAGCACTGCTCTTGTTAGGGCCAGTGCTAGCAACGTCATCAGGTTAGAGCCCCGTGAGCTCACTTACTAGTCCGGTTACGCTGGCATAACCCTCTAAGGATACAGTATCTTAAGTAGCTTAAGTAGGGAAAAAATGCCAATATATCTAATATTAAAATAGGAGGTGTTGTGAGTCTCTGCGGATCGGAACACGCTATGACTCTCTATCTACAGTTAGACGAGAGCAGGAACTGTGGTAGATACAGTGAGCACATCGCTACATGCGAGGATCGAGCTGTTTAACGATAACGCTTTTTTTCCTACCTAGCTGAGAGCCTTGAGAGGCTATTTCAGCGTAACCTTAACTAGTAGGTGAGCTTACGGAGCACAAACCTGACGACGCTGCTAACACGAACCCTAGCAAGAGCCGTGCGTCGCAGAATCTACCACCGGATCGGAAACGCGACCCACTGAGAAGATCCGGCGAGAAACTCAGTGTGCTGTGTCTGTGGGTTAATTTACTCGTCGAGCCCTTCGTCGCAAGCGACGGGTTCGGCGGGGACGATGCCGGTGCTTGAGGTCGATAACGCGAGGAGCAACATTAACACTGGAGCCGTAGCTCAGCGGACGTGACAAAAGGAACTGAAACCTCAGCACGTAGGATTGGATAAGATATTATTATTCATACAAATATTTAAGAACTATAGACAGTAACCATCACCACTACTAGACCGAGCATAAATTTAATTATGTTCAATTGCATTACTGTATTTTTTTATGAATATTTATTAATCAAAAACTTCAGAGTTAGCCCAAATATAAATTTAATTTCACCTTGAGGCACTCATCAATGACCAGTAGCAAGCAGGACACAGACTCGGACAGGACGAACAAGGAGCGCCACTGGTTGTACCGCACCCGGTCGCCGAACTGCTCCATCAGACACTCCAACTTACCTGGTGCATTCCATCACATCACTGCGCATCACGCTCACACGGCAGACCAGTACACGGCAGTTAATGACTTAGCGATAGTTCTATAGTTCCGAAACACAATATCAAAGAGCGCAGCATCCTGCAAGGCTCCAGTGGAGATGCTCTGTCCTTTTCCTAGGTGTTTTGGCATTAGATGCGGTGTATAGGGCACACGTGAACAATGTCGTCACTATACAATATAAGTCTGCCTGCAGATTAGTTTAAATTTAAAAAGCCTTATTTCTGAACCCACTTTAATGTTGTTATCGTAATGTCTATTAAGACCGGCACGGTGGCGCGACCGACTTTTACGAAGATGCATTACCATAATTTGAAACTTAAAAAATAATAATTTAAAACTTTTGTCCTAGAGATTTTACAGAAATTGTTATTTTATCCAAAGCCACAGTTTCCAAGACGCTCTGTTACAAGTGAGCTGCTCACCATAATCTGGGACGGGAGGCTCGTACTCCTTAGTGGGTGCGACTATAAAATTATACAATTCCGGATACGTCTTCATCGTCTGAAGGATCTTCATTTTTCCTTCGATTTTGCTGTATGATAAATTTGCCTGCAAAAGAGGAGTACACTCTTGTACACTGGCTTATTTATTTTTGCAATTAATGTCAAAAGAGCCAATCTGGAGCGAAATCACACTTAACAAGTTACAAAATAAATAATAATAATATAACTCTTTATTTGTTTCACCACATGTACAGAGTAAGCATATAAAACAAATAATAGACGGTGAAATAAATTGGCGGCCTTATCGCTGAAAACGATCTCTTCCAGGCAACCTTGCAGGGAGAGGAACACGCAAACTGGCATAGGCGATGCTATATCTTAATAAACTTACATAAAAATCTATACTTACACATGTGAAAAATAAATACAATATAAAATAGACTTACATACGATTAAATACAAATAAATACCAAAAATATGCAAGTAAATACAAAATAAGCAGCAACTTGTACAGTTATATCGTAGGAGCCATATTATTGTGCAAGGTAGTGAGATTTTAACCTGAACTTGAAAATTTCCGGCGAGGACAATTATCGTTTGATGCTTAAGGGTAGTGCATTCCATAAGCGGACTGCTTCAACCGCAAAGGAATGATCATAAAACGACGTCTCGTGAGCCGGAAACTTTAACATTAAATTCTAAACTGAACTCCTTCGCTGTGAGAACTCGAGGAAGTAGCTTTAGGCCAATAAGTCGTCACAGTTCCGGTCGTGTCACGGCGCGCGGGAACAGTACAGGTACCTCGTTAATCAACGCACGAAGATGCTCCTCGTCGACGTTCCTCGCCTGCTTGTGCACCCGCACCATGCTCAGGACCTTGGGCATGAACTGCAGAGGCATGCTCGACAAGCCGTCCAACAGTAGGCAGTCCAGATACAGATAGAACCTTAGCACCAAACGAAATACTTTTGAACTTGCCCAATCAATTGTTTTTATTTATTTATTTGGGAAAACAAGCAGTACAATACAAACATATAATATTTTGAAAAATAGCTTAAACTATAACCAAATATGTTTCCACAATCAAAATCACATATAAGTAGAAAGTGAACAGAGAAGAGAAATTTAGAAATTTAAATTACAAAAAAACAAAAGCAACACAAATAACGCACATATTATTTTATACATCAACTTACACTATAAAACTATAATACTTATCGGGCTAAATCACCTTATAAATATTTTAAAATAGCTTTCCTATATGCTACAAGTGACAAGCAAAAGATGTCAGCATTAGAGAACTTAGCATCATACAACCTACAAGATCTACGGACAAAAGAATTAGAAGCATATTTCGTTCGAGCCGTGGACACGTATAAGGTCTGTTTAGAACGCGCGGAAATACGACTACATTAAATGAAATTTTGGACAGAAGTTTTCTTAATCATTACAGTCAGCACTCGCAGAGGGATAATGTACCAAACTACTACTGACGCTAATGAGTACGCAGTTAGTACCTGAGATTGTTTTCAACTTCCCGGCGCAGGTCAACAGCAAATTTAACCCGACGCGCGAACGTCTCTGGATCGTCAGCTTTGAACATGAGTCTGATGCGAGGGATGCTGCAAAAATACTTTTAGCATACATTTCTTCTTCCTCCCGCAAAAACATTCTCAAGACCAGTGTGCTTAGTGCGAGTTTTTCAAGGTTCTCGATAGCGTAAAAGTTAGCTCATATTTGTATCTAATGGGATCGTTTGCCTACGTTTACCACTAGGGCGCTGTTCCAACTGCATACAAAATTGGGTTACATTTTACGCTATCAAGAACATTAAAAAACCCGCACTAAGCACACAGATCGCAGCGTTGGTTTCTATCCTAATAAAAACTTAACACGTCAAATAGGGTTGTGCTGTGAATAAGCGCATTCGATTCCATAAAACAATAACTCTACGGGATGACGTGATCTTCTCAAAGTATTCCGCGGAGCACTATTTATGGAACACATCCCGGGAAATACAACTCTCATTGTGTTTGAGACGGCGCGACATCACGTATTGGAATTAAACGAACAAAGCCTTGGACTCGCGTGTGATCAGAAGTCAATAAAAATGTACTTGTATCTCCTCTTGGTTCCATCCAGCGCCATCACCTCCCACTTCTCCGTTTTTTCATCAAAACTAAAAGCCGCAACATTTGTCCACTGTAAACAACAGAACGAGCTGGTAGAACAATAAGGGATTGTGTGACCACCTCACGGCCCATCTAGTGATAAATGTTCACCGGAGACATTGGACGTCTATAACGTAAATGCCGCCTTCCACGCTAAACATTTATTCTAAGTCTTAGTTTTAGAGTGCAAGGACGCCCCATAATCCAAACAGACACGCATTACTGCTTCACGGCAGAAATAGGCAAGGCCGTACCTGTTTCCAGAATTCGAACATCGGCAGATCCGCAAGGGTCAATAAGAACGCACCGGACGTCTCATCCATTAGGACGATTTTTCGATACTTCTTTAAACTTAGGACTAGTGTACTATTATTGTTCTATGATATATTGTTGTTAATTTAGCCTGGTGGTCAGTCACTTAAGCAGTTTCAGACCTATGGTTTTTTTTTTGTTGTCTTTTTAGGCAGACGAGCATACGTCCCACCTGATGGTGGTTACCATCGCCCATAGGCTTCAGCAATGCCGGGGACAGAGCCAATCCCGTGCCTACAAAAGTTAGTTTAGTTTATCCAGTTCAGCTATTAATTAGGAGATAAAGCAAGTGACTACAAGTTCCTCCTTCCACTCCAAGAATAGTTCCCAATACGTGACGTGATAATATGACGTGACGGTAACCTGAATACGCTACACGTCTGCGCGCATAGCGTGAATGAGGAGGAAAAGTCTATTGACGCACTAACCTCATACAAAGAGTTGAAGGTCTGAATAAGGTCCACGTTCCCCTTGGTTGGTTTCGCATCATCTTTGGGAATGAACGCCAACCCTGGGCACGGATATTGCTCACCTTCGATTAGTCCTAGCGATAACCATTCCGACGGTATGCTGGAAGTACGACAGTCATTTGTGAACGCGTTCACGAGTGCTCATATGTTTTGTTATGCTGTTCATTTATGATCTACGAGCCACCTGGTTGTTATTGTGCCATTGTTGCCAGTGCAGAAGGTAAGTATCTCGACCATATCACTGTCTGGACACAGCGGCGCAATTTCTTATCATTTTGGTATCATTCACTACTCGTTGCTACATATATTCTCTTCGTGAAATTTAGTTATAAGTACGTATGTCCCCAGTTACATATGTACATATATAAACTCGGGCTATAATCATTGTATGCGACTACTCTGGATGTCCTATCCATTAGGCCACGAACGTTTCAGCGGGGAATCGCCCGATTGATCTGTTACGGGGCCCACGGCGAGCTCCAATGCGATGCAGACAGATGCAGTAGGTTGTAGAGTACGCCCGCATGTGCGGGTACTACCATCCTGCTTATTGCCGCCACGAGGCAGCTATACGTTCCAGCTCGAAGGATGGCTTAGTCTCTATACATCCAGTTACTCAGGTTTCGACATTGTATTTCGCGATAGGTGGTGGTAATCACGCTCTGATGCTTAAGGATTGCAATAATTACTTAAAATATGAGCCGTAGGATCTTCTGTCCAACCAATAAAAAGCCTAACGTGAAATGTGTTTATAAGTGGTCCGAGACAGTGACTGGACGTGCACTCACCGACAGTCGAAGTCAGTGTTATCGAAAATTTCCAATTCCAACTTGGGAAAAGGACTGTAGAGTCCATAGCAAAGCTGGTCATCAACTTTGAGGTCTTCGATAGGAACCAGCCAGAACGGCTGCACTCCGAGATCACGAAGCATTTTCTGTTTAATATAAACGTTAGTGATGTTGTTACTGCACGGTCAGATAACGACAAAACTCAAATAAGGGCAGGCGCAGAGATAATAATAAGAATATGAGTCAAGTTCATTGAGTCCACGCACGGGTAGGCATCGCCAACATAATTTCTGACGTAAAGCAGTCTTAAGTTCCGACTTATAAGATTTGACAACAGATGCCTAATAGAATGAGGGCGGGTGACGACGAACACGCGTCGACTGGTGACCACTTATCACACGACAAGACAACTGCCGTTACAGTCTCGGCGCCATCGTCCATCATTACATTTTATTAATATCTATATCTAAATGATTAACAACCCGATTTCGATTTTGGTCAGATTTGATCATTATTGCTATTGCTAAAATAATATAAAGAAAATACATTCCTCGTTTAGCTTCAGGGCCTTACGTTAGTCTAGCATCCACTAAAGCCCGTCCTAATGAACTATGTTCAGATCTTCAAACAAGTATTCGAGAGATTATTTTACAGAAGATAGCGGTGCGCCTGGGCCTCTAACACTATGGTCAATGAACACAAAGAATGAACTGTAAACATTTCGACACCTTGATATTGGCGGCCAAGAATTTTCTTCTCAATCTCTCGATCTTCACGAGTCGAGGAATCTCCTTGGGAGGGACCACGTTCAGAAACTGAAGCTTTGACACAAATGTCTCGAATGGAAATTGCTATAAAAATAAAAGTAAGCAGTACACTCAACACGAATGAAATAAAATTTAAAAGTACATAATTCGTTCTTTTCATTAATGATTTTGTATCTAGTTTTCCCGCTTTATTCTAACAATTCATTATATTTTGATGTACCTATACGTGTAATGACGTAAGTACACAAATATGGGAAAATCCAACGAACGAATAACGTTAGTAGGTATACTCGTATACTGAAGGTTCGCGTGGCCGTCTGTGTGTTGAAGTTCAGTCGCACTGGTTGCACCAGGACCCCTTGAATTCCTCCAATAATCTAGGATTGTTGTTTGTTAAGATATAAATTTTATCAAAAATGTGATTCATTGCCAATAATCAAAGCAAAAATAAATAAATGAACCGGTTACTATTACACCCGTACCCCGTACTGGTATATTATACTAACAATACTTTCATCTTCACGGTAAGTCGTCCACCGACCCGGAGGTAACAAAATCTTTTGCTTTGGCGGCTTCGGCAGAGAAATAAGCGTTGGAGCCAATTTATCCGTTTTCGCCTTGAATAAAACAATAATTATTGTCGTTCGGAACTTCTATCTGCAAGCTTAACGTCTAAATTTCAATTTTGTTAGCGAGATTCAGATTTTTGTCAAATATAATCTGCTCTATGATAGCCACCGCTACAGAACTTGAGCAATAATTTCGAGGAAGGGATAGTAAGGACAAGGAATCGTTTTGTGTTATCAGCGTTGATGTCTCCGGCTACTGAGTATTTTAGTCTTAGCTATCGGGTGCAGCAGCTATGGTTATGCGGAATGTAAATATTACATAAATGCATAATACATAGAACATACATTTTAATTGACAAAATAACAACATTAACGACGACGTGCGTAAATCTCCTTAATTGCTACACAGCAAAGCACAAGTGACTGACGAATGAACTTTTATATTAATAGCAATTAACTCTAATAGTCAACCAAACTAGTCATGATCCTACGCGTCTACGCGGTTCCGGTCGACTAAGCAGTTTGATTAATGCATCAAAAACTAAGCCTTGGCCTAAACGTAAACTATAGCCACTCCAGTACTGCGTAAATTTGATGCGGTTTGAAAAGTTATCGACCAGAGCTTATCTCAGACTTCGCTGAAAGGAAGAATGGTTGGATTCGTGAGATTGGAACGTATGTAAACCTGTAAGATCATCTTCATTCTCTTCTTAACGCATATATCTTTATTTGGATCGTCTTTTGTCATATCGGACACGAGCTCCGAGTAGTATCCTCTCTTCGGGATCGCATTCCTGCTCGTGTTATCATAAATTACATCAAACTTTCGTAATTTCTTCTTCTTACTATACATAATTTCTGAATATTACATTCAATTCAACTTGTAATTGCGTTTTAATTATTTCCGAAAACGTCAAAAGGCTCGACGTTCTGGAATCAAAAGGAATATTGCGCAAAGAGAATTTAATACATAAGAATGACATTATCTTTAGTGAAAGTTAGTATACTTTCTCCAAATAAAAACTTATACTCTGGGTCAGTTTTTTTTTTGTGGGCTAGNTCTTTAGTGAAAGTTAGTATACTTTCTCCAAATAAAAACTTATACTCTGGGTCAGTTTTTTTTTTGTGGGCTAGGGGCCAAAGCTCTTACGAGGACCCTGCGCCTAGGGGGCGCACGGGTGAGCCTGGGCGGTCAGATGCTGAGAGCGGACCGCGGGCTCAAGGATGACATTTAGGTGGTACACCAGCCTGCGAGGTACCATCTGCCAATGGATCAATCTAAATCTGCCATAACTTTACTATAATCAAAATACAAATAGGTATATAACTATAAAAACAAGTAAAAAATCTGGCTTTTAATATAAGCCATGGTCGCCAACTAAACAAGACAAATGTGCCGAGTTTGTACGCAATGTTCCTTACAACTGGATACAGAACAAAACAACACCATAATGGAAACTAATCTAACTTTTAATGTAAGGAAATAATTTTATTCACAAAACATTAAACAATTACACTACTTAATCTTACTATTAACATGGAGAATGCCCTTGAAAATTTATATAAATATGATCATTCAAAATAATTATAAAGAAAATGATATGTTTATGTTCATGTCGTGGTTACTGTCTTCAATATTTGAATTAAGTTATTTTGGACGTCTGGGAAACATTGCTGGCAACGTAACTATCTAGGGCAGGGGCTCCTAAACTTATTTTGTATACTGCCCACTTTGCGAAATAAATTGTTTTTAGCGCCCCCATTTTTTCACCTACTTAAAAACCACTATAGTGAGAGCTCAGTCAGTGTCTAAAAGTCTTTCTAGATGAAATAAGAAATCGCCTCCCAAGCCTCTACACAACGCCTCAATTTTTTCTGGGTCTCGTACCGTGCCGCTTTAGGCCTGTAGCGACCACAAGGGGGCGTTACCGCCCACTTTGGGAAAGGCTGATCTAGGGTAATATTGTACGCATACTTTTGAGTAATAAAGTCATATAACTATCAAAGGAACGACTACACTTGCCAATAAATATAAATTGAATATCTTTCCATTCGGAGGATCTAAGTCTATGCTGAGGATTTCGTTAACAATATATCAGATAACGGCTAGAAAAAAAAACATTTATTATTGGACACATGCAACTATTACAAATCATGAAATTTAAGCATCAACTACTGTATTTATTTTCACTGTCGAACTTCGTTCTCCGGTCTGCTCCGACTGTCTCGTGAGAAGCTGCACGTGCGCCACACGGTGATGGCAGCTAGATACCTTCACTGGAGTGTCTACGATAATTGTACCAAGTTTCATCACAATTGGACGTACGGCCTGGCAATGCATAGAGAACAAACAAGCACGCATTTTTGAGGGTAGTGAGTTTATTTCTATACACACATTGAAGTATATATAACAAAAGAACAATTTAAGATGATTATCCATCCGTAGTACAGTCGGTGATCTAGTACCGCCGTGGGCACTTGATGGCGGCGCGTGGCGCGGCGGGTGTCCGCGGTAGGACTTGTTGTGCGTTCTGCGCATTACTCTCTTCTGGTTTTTATTGTCTACTTAACTATTGTCTTCGCGAAGCACAGCCTGAGAGGATTTTCTAACGCTTTCCCTAACAAGAGCACAAGGTCCGGTGAGATACTCAGCGGGTTAAGGCGGTGCACGTCGAACGCACTCGGAGTGCCTAATAGCGCCGAAATGTCGTGTTTAAGGCGACGGCGCCGCGCGGCCACGATAAGGCAGCTAGCGCCGTGTCGTGCCGCCTTCTTGATAAAACATCCTGGCGCTGTCTTCAGATACTTAAAGTTACGTACGGATAGCGCGTACATTAGCCACGCGTAGTCAGTTACGGCGGTTACGTGTGTCCTGGAACATCATGTCCACACTTGCAGCTGCGCGCACACGCGAACCGCCGTCACTCGGTATTTAGTCGCGCGTCAAAGAGGAAGCGCACGACCGGGTCCGCCACATTGGAACCGCTAAATGGACAAACACGCGTTTTCATCGAGTTTTAATAATGAAAATATTATAAAGTTGACTGATATCATATATATTGATTGCACGCAACCGCTATGTTTCTCGGAGTCATGGCGAATGACTGGGGCTCGCGTAGTAGTTCTCTGGATCGATTGGCCTCGCGTTCAGGTTTGCGGCGATCCGCACAGGAGCTGTACCAATGTACGCGTGGACTGCGTAACCGAACTACGTGTGAAACAGGAACACGCTGTCCGTACGCAGCTTAACGGTTCTAATTGAGGCCCAGCGTGAAGATCTACGTCGGTCTCGGATCGCGACGCCCGCCGGCTGTCCCCAAGGACGGGTCCCGAGAGGTGTCGGGGGGAACACTACACATGCATGGGTCACGATCGTACGTGCAAGTGTGATTGGTAGTTTCTTCTCGTGCTCCAATTATGTGTTCCAGTTTTTACAATTATAAGGGATAACAAAATGTGGCAAGGAATCATAGCCAGTGTTTTTTGAAATAGATTCTCTTATCAGTGAGTACATCTGGTGCTGGGGGCGTCGTGGTTGTCGGTAAATTTTTAGTAGCCTCTAACGATCGTAAGACAAAAGTTTTTACTAATATATGACCCAACTGCTTTTTTCCGGGCCGGGCCCGAGTCTCCTGCGAGGTCCCCGCGTGTAGGGGGCGCAGGGTGCGTGCGACTGGTCCGCGACTGCACGCCGCGTGTTCAAGGATATTTCTAGAGCCCTACCGCATCAAACGGCTCCCCTATACTCTCGCACCCGGAGACAGAATTCCGTCCCGGGTCAGAACCGGGAGTACCAGGGAAATGACCCTGACCAACTGAAAAGCTTAAGTTTATGCGATTATCTAAAAAATAAAAAAAAAATGTGTGCGTGTACTAGTGTACACACGTAAGAAGTGAAACTTGTTTATGGCCTTATTTTTCGAAAAATGATCTACATGCAACTTTCTAGAAATTGGTTAAATAAAGTTAAATTAGATAAAGTTTAAACAAAAGGATTTTATTATCATAGACATGAATACAAATAATACAATTATTTCACTTTACCTTTTTGCTACTAAGATTATTACAGCATTTCATTAATTGTAATAGAATTATTACTATCATTGTCATTGTCATTATATATTTTTGTAATTAATGGCTTATGGTAACTGAAATATGAAATATATGGTTTACATTCCACGAAATTTAGTGACCGAGTAAAAACTCCATCAATTGTAGTGCCAGATCTTGTTGTTGACGTTTGAGGACTGTTTTTCATGGATAAATTCAATTTATCTTTCAGAAATTCAACTAGCTTCAAAGAATTTTCCGATGCAAAATTTACATTAAAATCTCCACTTAAAATCATCGGTATTTTATAATTATTGTTACCGAGTAAAGAGGCACCTTCACTTGTGTACGGCAACAATGAATGGTGAAGAAAAAGATGGCGCGTAACGGAAAAATGTGACGCGTAACCGAAAAATGTGACGGTAAATTTTTTTCCAACGCCGATAAAGAAGTTTCACTTCAAAAATTGTTTATAGTTGCTTAGATTGGTGGATGAGCTCACGGCTCACCTGGTGTTAAGTGGTTACCGGAGCCCATAGACACCTACAACGTAAATGCTCCACCCACCTTGACATATAAGTTCTAAGGTCTCAGTATAGTTACAACGGCTGTCCCACTCTTCAAATCGAAACGCATTACTGCTTCACGGCAGAAATAGGCAGGGTGGTGTTACCTACCCGCGCGGACTCACAAAACGTCCTACCACCAGTGATTACGCAAATTATAATTTTTCGGGTTTCATTTTTTATTACACGATGTTATTCCTTCACCGTGGAAGTCAATCGTGAACATTTGTTGAGTACGTATTTCATTAGAACAATGGGTACCCGCCTGCGGGATTCGAACACCGGTGTATCGCTCGATGTACTTACTGTATGCAGTTGTAAGAGTCTTTCAACCCGCGCGTCCGGTCCCCGCGCAGCGCCGGCCTGTCGTTACTGGGGGAGTCGTCGGAATTAATTATTTCTTTAAACTTCTGCTCTTTGTTGTTTGACATTTAATTAAAATTGTGCACCTCAGAGTTACATACACAATTAGAATATTTGTTGCGATTTAATACATCAATATTTACACTATTTCATAAGTCATTTTAAAATTAAATTCTTGTTTCTCGTCCCTGCAGCGGCGAGCGGGGGACCCATGTGAGGTCCGGGGCACCGAACGATAGGGGCTTCACTTAAGGTCGGCGGGGCGCGGCGCGTCGCGGCCGTCGAGTCCGGGGGCGAGGGCGTTGACCTCTGCGGCGAGGTCGGCGAACTTGGCCACGTAGTCCACGCTGGACTCCGCCATCAGGGAGTGCAGCTGCGAGTCCACCTGCGCACAGAGAGAACAGCGTACAGGAGCTCGGGGACCCCACTGGACCCCGAGGGACGTGCCCTAGTGAACGTGACATTCAGTTGTAAAATAGTGTCTGCGCACAAACCGCTAATTCCGGTGGTCTGTTCCCGTCGAGGTGCCCGAGGAAGCTGCTGAGCGAGAAGTCGTGGACGGAGCCCTCCAGCCAGCCCTCCGCCTCCCGCAGCAGCCGGGACGGGGAGAGGGACATCGACTCCGACGGAAGGAAGCCTGCGTCCATATTGTTCACAATAAGTCAGTGATTTAGTGAACTTCGAAGTTTTAATTGTATTACAAGAGTAGATAAACTGGTGTTGTGGTTAATTGTTTTTTTTTCTCCACCCTGAGTGCGCGGTGTCCGGGGGGAGTCTACGCGAATAGCGACTCAAAAAACGTTGTCCGGGAGGCGAACAAGTTTGGGTGACCATACCATGATAACCAGCCTCCACACCGCCGGGACCGCTAGCT